ATAGATTCTCGGGGCAGAGCTATTATGGATTCCATAGATGACCATGACTTAATACTTTTAAATAATGGTCAACCAACAACTATGGGCTCTCATATTTGGAAACCAAACAGTCTAGATTTAACTATGGTGTCTTCTTCTTTATTTCTTTCTTGTGACTGGTAAGTTCATCAGGACCCTTTAGGCAGTTATCATCCGCCAACTATCACAAAATTTACTCTCGTAAGAGATTAACATGAACCCTCTATTCCCTTGAACAACATTCCTTTTCACAGCAATCTGAAATTAGTAAATTGGGATAGTTATGACAAATTGTTAATAAAATGTTAATGAACTTTAAAATTGACAATAGTGATCTCTATGACTCATACAGAAAGTTTTGTTCAATTATTCTATTGGCAATCAAATTCTCCAGGCCCAGCTTAAACCATAACACAACTGATAGTAATAATAACCGTCCTAGAAAAAGGTGTCAAGTACCTTGGTGGAATGATAAATGTTCAAAAGTAGTAGAAGACTGCAAGAACGCCTACATTAATTTCAAACCTAGTCTTAATAGTAAAAATTACATTAATTTCAAACGCGCACAAGCCTTTAAAAAACGCACTTTAAAAGAAGAACGTTGTAAGAGTTGGTCTGAATTCTGCTCATCAATAAATCGTTTGATATCTATAAATCGCATTTGGACTAAAATAAGTAAATTCAAAAAAAGCTTTCCGGGTTCTAACTTGTTTTCTGACCTCAATTGGGTTCAAACATTTTTATATAAATACACACCGGATACTGTTTCACAACAGATAAGTATAGATAATGTTCTTGGAGTAAATAGTGATAATTCATACATGATCGGTTGTTTTATTATGCAAGAGTTAAAATCTGCTTTAGCCTCAAGAAAAGATTCTTCATGTGGCCTGGATTGGCTTTCCTACAAAATGTTTAAACTTTTAAATGTTCAAACTCTATCTATTTTTTTAAGTCTATTAAATAGTTTATGGTCGTCTTCCAGAGGATTGGAAAACTGACTGTTTGGTACCAATATTAAAACCTGGCAAAGACTTTAATTTGGCTGATTCTTATCGTCCTGTTACACTGAGTTCATGTATTGGAAAAACTTTCGAACAATTAATAAAACAGAGATTAATTTTTCACTTAGAAAGTAAAAATCTTTTACCTTACAATCAGTTTGGCTTTCATTGTGGCTGTTCTGCTTGTGAGAGTCTACATCATTTCTGTCTGGATATCCACGATGCTCATTCCGAGAATAAAGTACAAGTTGGTGTTTTTCTTGTCATTGTAGGGGCTTTCAATAATGTAGATCTGAACAAATTATCCTCAGTATTATTATCACTGCGGGTACCTGGAAAAGTTGTAAATTGGATTTTTAATTTTTTGAACTACAAAAAGGTGTTTGTTAAGGTCAGTTATTTGGTAATCAGTTATTTGGTCCAAGACATTCTTGTAGGTGTGTATCACAGGGTGGTGTATTGAGCCCATTGCTTTTTATCCTATTCATACATCAGCTAAATTTAACTCTGGGGTGTGAAGTTTCTAGTCTGCAGTTTGCAGATGATTTAGTTTTTTATTGCTCTGATACTAATTTTTTACATGTACAATCAGTCCTCAATGTTGCTCTCCAAAGACTAAAGAACTATTTTGATAGCTTTGGGCTGGAGGTCAGCAATGAAAAAAGTAAAGTTGTTGTCTTTTCAAAAAATGTAATTAGAAATAGGAATGTAAATATTTAATAATAATGTAATGTCTGTAGAGAGCTCTGTAAAGTTTTTAGGTGTTATTTTTACAATCAATTCTAGATGGAATAAGTATGCTGAAACTCTAAAATCTCGAGCTTTAAATGCTTGTAATGTTTTAAAATCTTTAACAAGCACATATTGGGGTGCTGATCCAAGGATTCTATTAACATTATATAAATCATATATTATTATATAAATAATAAGCCGTTTTTTGTTTTTCAGGGGTAAGAACTATCGTAGACAAATTAGAAAAGATACAAAATAAATGTTTGCGTATAATAATGGATGCAATGTGAACTACTCCCATAGTGTCAATGCAGGTGGAATATAATACCTCCATTAGCACTTAGGTTTAAATACTTACAATCAAAATTTTTTGCAAGGTTTGCTCTCCATTAGTAACGATTCACTTCTTGTTAAACTGCGGGACACTATTAACAGGACTGCTAATATTAATTCATATTTGTTTCACGGTATTTCTGAAACAGAACAAATTTTTAATAAACACAATATTTTTTCTAGCATAGTATGGCCTTGTTACTCTGGGTTATATGAATCAAAATTTATGCAGATTAAAATTGAAGTCAAAAGTCTTGTAAAGTATAAGGAAGACATTTAGGGGCCATCCATAAATTACGTCACACGTAAAGGGGGGGAAAGGGGTCGACAAAGTGTGACATGGTGTGACAAGGGGTGGGAGGGCTCCTGAGTTTCGTGACATCACATTTCAAAATCTAGAGGTACTAATCACGTAATTTGAAATATTAATTAAAATCTTTAAAACTGAGCGCGTCATCACATCTATATATATATATTCATTAGTTTATTTTTTTGTTATTATTTCAAATATTTGATACTATGTTGATTTCATAAAAAGTACTTAATTTAAATGGAAATAAAACTGCTGTTTTAATTTAATAATTTTTCGATGTTAAATTGCAAAACATGTGACGTCACGCTAGGGAGGGGGGGGTCTCAAAAATGTGACCACCTGTGACAAGGACGGGGTAGGGCTCGAAAACTCATGAAATTAGTGTGACGTATTTTATGGATGGCCCCTTATAGGGAACTTGATAGGTGGCAGGGATATCATCAGATATATACAGATGGGTCTAGGAACAATGAAGCAGTCTCTATAACTGTCTATGATAGTCAGATCAAGGGTGGATTTGGTCATAGGTTCATTGAATCCACTCACAAGCATATACTCCACTGAATCCATAGCTGTGTATACAGCTACGGAGCACATTCAAACACAAACTCATCCAAAGTGGATTATAATAAGAGATAGTTTATACTAACTATACTATATTTAAAATAAGAGAGTTGTATCACCTGCTGTCTCAAAACAAGCAAATAGTCCTATTCAAGAGCAAGCAGACTATTTAGCTAAATTAATTACAAATCCAGCCCACAATCAATTAAGTCACAGCTTTTTAAATTTCCCAATTCCTTATTCAGACGCTCTATCCCTCTTCAAACTCAAGTTACAGAAAGAATTTTACAACTTATGGCATTAGGTGGTAAAGGTAAAAGGAAAATGGTTAGCTACAATAAAGAAAAAGGTCTCTTCCCCCTGGTTTACCCGGGGTAGTGACTATAGCCATAGAAAGTATTATAGCACAATCTCTCTGGGACATTGTAGTTTTGGTGCTCACCTTTTTAGGATTGGTGTCTTTGACTCTTCAACTTGTAGATATTGCAATAGTGCTGATGAAATCCTCGAACATATATTTTTTGATTGTCCACAGTTTAGTATTCAAAGGATGGTCCTTGTAGACCAACTTTTAAATATTTTTAAAACTGCTGAAGATATCCCGCGATCACTTCAGCAAATACTAAGCATTCAAGAATGCTTCTTGCCAGTTAGTGGCTTTATTGTTTCTACTATAAATGAAATCTAATTGTTATATGTACATATGTATATACTAATAGCTTTTTCGTTTTGTTTAAGATATTTGTCTTTCAGCTGTTTTCAGAATTTGACCCGTTTCATCGATTGTGACAAATGAAATGTACTAAAAATGACATTACAAGGACTTGACATTGAAAAGTGACGGAATGAAAAAAAAACAAGAATTTGACAAAAAAAAATATTTTAAATAGAGACATGGCTTCGGCCTTAAAATTAAAACATGATTAAAGAAGAAAAATTATAAGAAGACATGGCTTATGTCTGATATAAAAACTTGAATCAATAATAAAAAAGGAGATTAAGACTAGGGTTGCCAACCGTACTATAATATATAGTATTGTACTATATTTCGGGTCTGCGTACTATATACTGTTGAAAAAAATATATAGTATTTAAAAATACTATATTTTCAACACCTACAAATCAATCTACCAAATCCTTAATTAAAAAGAAATAAGAACGCGCCTTTAAAGTACCCGATAGGCGATAACGTCCAAACGCTTGCGTTACGAACTTTTCAATGTCAAATTGACAACTTCAATTTTGACGTCATCAAACGAGATTTTGGTCTGCTTTAGAACATGTTCTGCTTACACATAACACAACACAAATCTCTGCGCCCGCTTCTGCTCGGGGGCATCTTTGTGTTTTGGGAGCGATGTAACGATGTCATCTTGACATTGCCCATGGACAAGTCTCTTGGAAACTCTTAGATATTAATATATCTACGATTTTCATTTAAGATTAATGCTAAAACTGAAATCTCTGAATAACGGTGATGAGTCAGCTGACAGCGCGAGTCTTACACACCTTACAGTCTGATGTCGCCAGGCGTAAGGCGGCCGGCTGAAAGTATTTTTAAAACTTACTTCAATACTTAAACAAATAACATAACATAGACCATTAATTATAAATAATACACCGGATCCAAATAAGATATATTTTGTTACAACACCGCGAGTGGTTGTGTGGCTGACACCTGGTCATTTCATATAATAGTAATTGCTAAGATATTTACATATAAACTAATTTTCATAAAAAAAAACAAATTTAATCCAAAGTAATTTATTAATAAGACTAGTTCATACAACTCTGTATCATTCTGTAGACCTTTTGTATATCTAGTACACGACAGTCTAGACTAGCGACAGACTCGTACACGATCATTTGTTACTATAGATATGTTCAAAACAAACGCTCACACTGACTCAATAACATTAACAACACAAACTGACTTACAAGTACAGAGATGCAGCGAGCGTGACCAGACAGGACTCAGGGTTACAACTAAATATCACAAAACATTATAATGTCGCTCGGTGTATATATATATATATCTAGAACACCATGATCTCAGTCCGCGGCACGTGGTTGAGGTTGTCGTCGATGGTGAGGTACATGTTGAAGGAGAAGAACATCGCGATGGAAGATAAGAAGTGCCACGAGTCGTGCGAGTCGAACAGCTGCAGCAGGGAGCACACGCGGTTGTGGCGGCGGGACTGGGCCGGGGAGAGCTGCGGGCGGACACGTGTATGTACATACAGGGGGCGACGGACAGACAGACAGACAGGGGGGGCGGCGGAGCATACTCACGGCCCAGTTGGTGCTGAGGTCCAGGTAGAAGTAGCTGGAGCTGAACCACACCGAGTACGTGAGGAAGATGAACACCCAGCTGGAAGGAGAGAGGCTCGTGTTAATGTATGTGCTCGTTCGTCTATGTGATGTGTGTGTGCGCGTCTCACCTGTACCAGCGGATGCTCTCCCGGTGCAGCAGCTTCATGACGATGTAGAACAGAGTGTACAGGAACAGGTTGCTCATGAGGACCAGCAGCAGGTGCGACGCGAAGTCGCGGCTGTGTTGAGACAGGCTGCACACACACATACATACATACAGGAGGGGTTAGTATAATCAAGTTCAAGTGTAGTAGTAGTGAGGTCATTGAACCCGTAAGCGGCGACCGCCCAGTTGGACATGTTGGCGAGCAGCAGCAGCACCAGGCGGCCGCAGTGAGCCGGCGCGGGCAGGCGGCCCAGCAGCAGCGAGCGGCACCCGCGACACGCGGCCGACAGGTCTGGAGGGGGAGGGGGAGATACGTTACTATGGACAGGTTCACGACTAATAAGTGAAACATTAAATAAAATTTAGATCAAACAAGATATCTGGGCAATTTACAAATGAAACGAGTGAAGAAATTTCTTTAATCTATTTTAAATATATTTTTATTTTAATTACAATTTTCTTAGAAAAATAAATAAATATGTACCGATATAAATGTCATTGTACTCACCGAATTTAAACCGTCCCAAGTAATATATCTGGAAGGTGAGGACGAGACACGTGACGAGGTGTAGCGCCGTGAACAGGACCCAGAAGTACAGGTTGGCGTTCAGTACACCCACGAGACCTGACACACACACACAACATACACACATACACACACATAGAGAATATATACTGACACATCACGAGCTCATAAGCTTTTGATGAACTTCCTCTTCAACTTAATACTTCCATGTTAGATGTCTGTCTTTATCTATGAATTATTTTTTCAATCAAAAAAAAAAAACAGGTAAATATGTAGAAGCAGATCACAAAGAATTAACGATCAAGTTCAAGGTATAAGATATATATTATGTATAGTCACATGAGCCACATGAGTCTCGTTCGTCCTCACCTATGAATATGATGAGCGCCAGCACGCCGAAGGTGGCGTGAGCGCGCGCGTTGATGTCGGCGTGACGCGACTGGTAGATCTTGACCATGCACAGCACCGACGTCACGTACATGAAGGACGTGTCTACAACACACGGACAATCAGGCAATATACACTTAATATGGTAGGAACATACTAAACTTACTTATGAGAATCGGTTTATATTATAGAGCTTGTTCTTTTATCATTGTTACAACCATATATAAGACGGAACCCTTATTTGTTTCTTGCATGATCGAGACGTTAAATAAACCCTTCATATATAAACTAACCAAACTGAAAGTTCATGCTGTTGGGACACACGTGGTAGGCGGCGGACAGCAGGCCCTCCGACAACAGAGACACGCCCAGCGAGTACAGCAGGCCCCAGTGCTGAGGGATGCCCACCTCCGACTACAACACACACACACACACACACACACTAATATAAAAGACGGGATATATAGTACAGGATAGTGGAAATCCGCATAAATAGTATTGGAAGCAGATTATCAGAAGATTAAACTATCTGAAATATTTCCTAATTTAACGAGTTATACGTTAAAGACTAAATAATTAATCATTGTGAAAAAATCTTAAACCTCATTAAATTCAGAAAATAATTTAGACTTTAATTTTCCCTGTGATATTAATTCAAAAGCAGTTACGTGGAATTAACCAATGCTAGCACTATTTCCGAGGATATGTATATGTATATACAGGGTGACTGGTGAATTACTATCGATACTTGAGGACGTGATATTTGACGATCATATATGACAAAATAAAAATTAATATTACATAAATATTAATAAACTTCTAAGTAAAGTTAACCAAAAGTTATGTAATTAATTACACATCGTGTGAACACCTACAGATTAGGTATACACACACACACACACTTGGAACACTTGGAACGTGTCCACACTTTATTTATTTATACGGAAATTTGGTCAAAAATTAAGTACCTATTTTTTTTTTACATAATTCGAATGAGAATCATGTACCGAGTATTCTCCTCAAATATTGATAGTAATTCACCAGTCACCCTGTATACAACGTGTAACATAATTAACGCACACCCTGAAAGTAATTTGTTCAGAATCGGAATCTGGATCGATTTTGATAGTTTTTTATGTAGGTCATTTTTTTCTCAAATTTAGATAGAACTAAGTAAATTACAGTCATCCTTCACACACAGTTATTTAAACACTGCGTAGAAACGAAAATGGATCGTAAGTCAGGGTGTATGTATATGTATGTATGTATGTATGTATGTCCTCACCTGCCCCCTCGCCTCGGCCCGCACGTGTCTCCTCCTGACCTGCAGCAGGAACAGCGCTCCTAACAGAATGTAGCCCACGTTGGAGTACACGTGGTTGAAGTCTGACAGGGAGCCGAGCGGGTGCGCGCACAGGAAGTTGAAGTAGCACAGGTCCTGGTTACCCGACTGGTTGAGGAGCTGCGGACATACAGACAGCGAGCAAATATAAGACTTGTGGGGATATAGATAGAGCTGATAGTTGAACGAGAGTTACCCGCTGGTAGGTGACCACGAGCTGGATGACGGGCAGCGTGTAGAACACGGCCACCGTCAACACGGCCCACAGGTACATGCGGGAGCGAGACGACAACACGCGCGGGCGACACCTACACACACACACATACAGGGGAGGGGGTTGGAAGAGGCGACGTTAATATGAAGAACTTCACAGTTACTTGGCTTTATTAGGCTTGGTTATTTAGTATTAAACCTCATAACCTCTTATCTTATATAGAAGGTGGATTATTTATCAGGGTGGCATCGTAAATGACGATGCGTTATATAGGAAAGCACTTCTAATGCTCGTTACAACGGTTACAATACCAATGCCCGATATATTTAAACTAGCTGCGTTTATACAAAAACATCTTGACCTAATTTAATATTAAATTTGCAAACTTAAAAGATAATAATAAACATTGGTTATATTAGTTATTATAATGATTATTTACGGACAAATATTATTTAATAATACAGGATTATGTAACATTAAAGATTAATATATTACACCGGAAGTTGATAAGCAGCAAATAACCTAGCCAGATCAGTAAAATAAGATTCTAGTAGCTTAATCCTTACATTATACATAATAAAACAAAATTACTGTAGTATTGATTAATCGACATAATTTGAGAAAATATAAATAACAATAAGCATTATTTATTAATTGCGCCGGAAGTATTAATTGATAACACTCATCATCTCACCTCGCGAGGTGCGCCACACACAGCCTCCCGTCCAACCGTATCTGTTTGTCTGGGTTCACCTCCACGCCGGACACGTCCGACTCTGTGTCCGAGGACGAGCTGCACGCTGGAACAGACAATATATACAAGAATATACAGCGACCGGACACATGGAGGAAAATAGACTCTCCTCATATATTGTTTGGAGTTACGAGACTGATATATCAGAAGACTGATTTGAAATACATAAAGAATTAACATCTTCTATATTTATAATTCACTTTTGAATCATTAAACTATAATTTCATGTCTGTACAAGTTAGTTCTTGAAAACTATCTCCTAGCAGTGACTGAACTGATGGGAGGAATAAAGGGATCCAAATGTTTGCTTTATAAATATCATGCAAGAGAAATTGTGTTTATTTATTTATTTATATCTATATATATAAAAGAAAGTCGTGTTAGTTACTCCACTTATAACTCAAGAACGGCTGAACCGATTTAGCTAAAAATTGGCAGGGAGGTAGTTTAGAGCCAGGAAATCGCAATAGGATACTTTTTATTCCGTTCGACAGCATTCCTGTGGGACTTGACATGAAACGTCAGTCACTATAAAACGTGGAATAACGAAACACAATTGACAGCTATGCAATTGACGTATAATGATAGATATGTAATGACGTAATGATGACAAGTAGATATTTTTAAGAGATCTTCTATATAAAAATAAGTCCGGTTTTCCATCCTGATGCTATAACTTCAGAACTAAAGAACCAATTTCCACGGTTTTGCATTCGTTGGAAAGGTCTCGGGCTCCGTGAAAACAAAAAATTTGAACAGAAAAGGGGGAAAATCTTCATAACTTGTACTACAAATCAATATTTTAAGTAGATGGTTCTCTACTCAGTTAATTTCATGTGACAAACCGGTATTGTGTTTGTAGTTTGAACTCTTAAAACCCGCAGCAACCCCTCTTAAATACTATTTAGTATTTATCCCGCAAATACTAAATAGTATTTGCGGGATAAATTAAAAAAATCATTGTTTTTCACTTGGGCAGTTATATTTTTTGCGTGTTCACGAGTTTGGAACTACCAAAAAAGAAAAAATGTGGTTTACAAAGGATCACTTCAATGAAACGGATAATTTGCGGACACGTATTACGCTTCTATTCGGTATCTACTTTGGATTCACTTTCATTTACTTAGAGAAGTTCAACTAAATAACACTTCATTTTTGTAATCGAAATGAATTCATTACTGATGTGAAATGAAACAAAAATTTTCCTTTTCAGATATAAAACAAAAAAAATCTTTATCTTTTAATCACCAAACGAAATCTATACTAATATTATAAAGCTGAAGAGTTTGTTTGTTTGTTTGAAAGCGCTAATCTCCGAAACTACTGGTTCGAATTGAATAATTCTTTTTGTGTTGGATAGTCCAGCTATCGAGGAAGGCTGTAGGCTATATAACATCACGCTACGACCAATAGGAGCAAACATATAGTGGTAAATGTGTAAAAAACGGGAGAAATTATTTCATCTTTGAAGCCTTCCGTTGTGTGCGCCGTGAAAACGGTTCAAGATACACAAAAAATATTTATTAAAGGATAATAGCTCTTTTAATGATCTAAAAAACAGTACGCGACAGTATATGTCTATCTTTTAAGATTAACTCACAAAAACCGTTTTTATGGTACCTAATTTGGTCGAAATAATTTGTTTAAGTTGTATCAACATAATAATATTAATCTTTATTCAAATAAACAAATAAATATGTTGTTGGTTAAGAGTACTTCATTGTGAATAAAAAAAACATAGGTTTTATACTGAAAATTCTACGAGAACTCGACCATTCCGAAAACCGCGCAAGAACGGGAACTATGTGGGAAGAACCAAAAATCTGCCAGAAGTCACTATTCCACGCGGACGTAGTCGCGGCAAAAGCTTGTGTTATATAAAAGCCTTCTGGTGGCGAAACGGAGTTCGCCGGGTTTACGCGTAAATTAATATGCGTCGCTGACCCACCTCCCTGCCCCTCTCCCTCCCCCGCGCCCCCCGCCGAGCTGCAGCTGGCGTCGTTGACGACACGACGACGGCACGGAGACGACACGACGGACACGTCGTGAGGAGTGTCCGGGGAGACGAGCCGCTCCAGGTCTGAGGGTTGAAGGAGACGATACTTGTTCATTATAGAATATTTTGCTTACAAACTTAGGTTTATTTATATATTTATTTTCGTTTATTGGTAATCCAACAGCGTTACAGTAATTTAAGAATAGTAACAATATAGCTATAAACAAGGCCGATTTAGGATTACACAAAGTTACAGTTCTACAGTTACACTCGAGCATACAATTAAGGATAAAAAGAAAAGAGAAAAAGCAAAGCAAAAGTGTGTGTGTGTGTGTGTGTGTGTGTGTGTGTGTGTGTGTTTTTAACATAAAACTACGGGTTACGATGTATCTTTATTATTTCTTTTTTAAGTTGGTTTTTAGTAACATGGTTCAGGTCTAGATCTAGGTTTCATGGTATATCACTATTTTATTTCTGAGAGTAGAGAAATATTTAACGGGAGGAAGAGTTCTGAGTGTTTTGATAGAAATAAGACGACTATTGAAAGTACGTAGTGGGAAATAGTCCCACATACAAGTCCCTGAACCCTGGAGCTCACCTGACGCTGGTCTTTTTCTCTGACACACGACGGCCAGGACGAACGCCACGTAGAAGGACAAGAAGAAGGCGAGAGGAGCCGCGGCACCGAGCAGGTACTGGGAGTAGGAGATAGTCGGCACTACCCTGAAACTGAGGCGTGACGGGTCATGATACACTGGTCATTAGGGAATCACGAACACATTTATTTATTTACTAGCTTTTGCCGCGACTTCGTCCGCGTGGAATAGTGACTTCTGGCAGATTTTTGGTTCTTCCCACATAGTTCCCGTTCTTGCGCGGTTTTCGGAATGGTCGAGTTCTCGTAGAATTTTCAGGATAAAACCTATGTTTTTTTATTCACAATGAAGTACTCTTAACCAACAACATATTTATTTGTTTATTTGAATAAAGATTAATATTATTATGTTGATACAACTTAAACAAATTATTTCGACCAAATTAGGTACCATAAAAACGGTTTTTGTGAGTTAATCTTAAAAGATAGACATATACTGTCGCGGACTGTTTTTTAGATCATTAAAAGAGCTATTATCCTTTAATAAATATTTTTTGTGTATCTTGAACCGTTTTCACGGCGCACACAACGGAAGGCTTCAAAGATGAAATAATTTCTCCCGTTTTTTACACATTTACCACTATATGTTTGCTCCTATTGGTCGTAGCGTGATGTTATATAGCCTACAGCCTTCCTCGATAACTGGACTATCCAACACAAAAAGAATTATTCAATTCGAACCAGTAGTTTCGGAGATTAGCGCTTTCAAACAAACACTTCAGCTTTATATTATTAGTATAGATTTATTTTTTGCTGCACACATACATTACACATATTATACAGTTATACAGAAGAAAACAAAAATTAAATTTAAAGAATACAGTGTAGCAAGGGGGTCCATCTCAGTATAAGCTGTGCTAATGTACAGCACTGACTTTCAGATGGCCCCTAAATATTGGGTAATTTACATTCGACTTGGCATGTCTTTGTTATTACCTGAACGTCTTGACCCGTCCGTTCTCCGCGCTGACCGTCAACCTCTCCCCCCACTCAAAGTCCGCCGCCATCTTGGGCGTGCCCGTGTTGTTGTAACACGCCTCGTCTGAAGTCTTCACTATGAACACGATGTAGAACCCGTACGGAAACGAGTCTTGCTGTAGGGTCGAATGTTATTAAAATGAGTACACACATTGTTATACACGTTTAAGATAACATTTGAAGTGTAGGCTAGTTTTAACAACAATCGATAGTTCAAATATTCTTTAAATGATATTATAGAGACAGAGTCTTTAAGAAAGACATCGATGGATCATCTCTACACCCTTCATATTCAAAGTGTACAAGTAACACAATATGTATGATGTACTCACGGTGAGTGTGATGCCTCCCCTCCTGGTCATGGTGAGGTAGAAGCCGTCGTACAAGATGTCCCGCTCGTTATCAAACACGGGACACTACAGGAGCGACAGACAGACCGGTCAACAACGAGATCACTAAATGTATAGAAAAATACACAAAACATACCGAAAAGTTCTGTATGGAGACGACCGCGCACAAGTCATCATCAGACTCTATCATCACGATCACACTCTGAGAGCGGGACAGCCAGCCCTCACTCTTAACGTGGTATCTGTCCAGCTTGGCCTGCTCCGTCTCATCCAAGTCCTTATTACACATGTACTTCTTCCTGATACTCTGCGTCTCTATATCGACCATTCTATTCGGCCCCTGGTCGAACGGATAGAAATAGTACTTCGGCTGACTCGGGGTGCTAGTTAGATTGGTCACCGAGTTCTGTTGTATGAAGAAGTCCTTCACGGTCTCCACGAATATAGTGACCTTGATGGGATCGGGGGAAGACGACGTCAGGTGGACGATCGGGACGTTTAGTGATGGGACATCTTCAACAACGGAAAATAATATATCAGAATTAGCGATATTATGAACTTGGGTAGTGTCGATATAGAAGTTAAAAAAAGAAAAACAACTTACAAAACGATGGGCTCATACTTATAAAGATATAGGTCGAATGTAAATATTAAAAGCCAAGCCTCGTGTGAGTTCTATTTCTAGTAAACATGAACGCCGGCTGCTACACTAAACGTACTAGCGATTGTAATAATAAAATATTAATTGAAAAAAAATGTTATTTACGTATCAACGGTCCGCAGTAAACCCTCGTCCGGGCCCCCCTTACTAAGACAGCGTAAGAACCAAACGAACATACATTTAATAACACCCAGCACCCTGTATACAACTATCAGACATGAGATGACAGGTAGCTGTTAGTGAGTGGCGAGAGATACAATAATTATAAATACGAACATCCATAAACAATCAACAAATATTTGAATCGAAGATTCGAAGCTGCGACTTCCACGATACCTTTAAGTCGATATAACAACTGAGCTATTGCCTCTTCACTCGGTTTATTTACAACTCTTTATATTTTAGTTAATAATCTATAACAGTTACTCATTCCCGGAGGTCGCATATTCGAATCCCGTTCACGGATTTATAATTCTACACTATTTATATAAATCGTAATATGTCGGTGATAAGGCGTTAATGGTTGTCATGGCCAGATGTTATTTATAATGTACATATGTGAACTGACCGCAGGCGTCCTCGTCCTCGGAGAAGATGTTGTTGTGGGGGCAGAGCGTGCGCGAGATGTTGCTGAACTGCTCCGACGAGTCCGGGGTCTGCACCAGCATGGGCAGCTGCCACGAGAACACACCTGACACACACCACGCTCTACGTCGATAAAATGACCCAAGATACTCATACGTATATTCAGTGCCGGCGTAAGGGGGGGGCGCGATGGGGCGACGGCCCAGGGCGCCAAATTTGGGGGGCGATTAGTGGAGGTAGGATACTCATAAATGAAAAAATAAAAAAAATAGGAGGTACATAACTTTCTATGTCCACGTCGTACATCAACTCTGGGTCACGCTAAAGGAAAGATGGAAGATGGTAGATGGAATATAGAATTCTTAATACACGTTCAGTGTTGACATTAGTTCAGAAAAAAATTTATACTCGATTTTGATTTCTTCAAATGGACGCCAAAATATTCTTGCCCAGGGCGTCAGTACCTCTAACGCCGGCACTGCATATATTAAACTTGTTCGATCAACAAACGCTGTCATAGTATGAGTCGCGAACCTTTCTGTTGCCGCGCCGTCACGAACAACGGGTAGGTTCTGTTCGCGAAGTCGCTGGCGACCGTCACTCTGGCTGGAGTGTCGTACGTGACCAGGTCCTTACACACAGAGCATATATATTAAGTAGGAATTTTGAGGCTTGGTTGACGAAGGAATCATAATTATAAGTTTACACTCACCCCCGCGAACTCCATGATATATTCCGTGTTTTTGCTGACTTCTACTGTGTATTGTTCGTTGTATTTGTAACTGAAATAAAAATAATATATTTTAAAAATTAAATGTGTTTTGTGAATGAGTTGTGGATGTCACTTCACAAAATCTATTTAAAAAAGACATTTTCATGGGAGATTATTAACACTTGATACAGGAAAAATATATAAGGAGACACCAATAACTAAAAGAGAGAGAGAAAAACGGAAATTGAAATTTCAAGTTATGTTCAACACTTTTAGAGACTCAACCATGGATGTTGAAGTAAGTCAGTCATGTAAATCTGTCAGTTCTTCCTCACACTTTTTATAATTCTTATTAATTTTATTTCATCAAAGAAAAATTATACTCAAGCCTTGAAAACTCATGGTGTTGAATAAATATAACTATAAAGAGGAAATTACTTCAAGAAAATAATATTACAAATATAATAGAATCATTGTTGTTGTTTACATAAAACACATGATAAAACGGCTACAACTGAGAAATGGGAATATTGAACCACATTATCTAGAATATAAAACTTTTATAATATATTGTTCAACTTGAAAAAAAACAATTCTAATATCTTGTGGTTAGAAAACTTAATAAAATTCAAAATATTTTGAACATATTCATATTTGACCAAACCAAATTTCATGGATAATTGCAATAAAATGAATGAAGAAATACCTCACAAATATAGAAATATTTGTTGGTAATAGGTATATAGTTGAGAAATTATATAAAATGTTAATAAACATAAAAAAAGATGTATATATTTTTATTAGATGGAATCTAAACGTTCCGCAACATTTTAAAGTCATTTAAAAGTATTAGAAACAAGTACTAAATGTTATGAAATGTTTAATTAACAAAAGAACAGAAAAGTCTTTCATAGTCTGTTACAAATTAACTTTAAACTTTATACAGAAAAAAAATTGGAATTTTGAAAGCAGTATTGTAATGTAATTTTTTATAAAAATAGAAATTAAAGATTAAAATACATCAGGAAATAGTTTCTCTAGTAAAGTGTTTGTTATCAATAGATAATTAAAATTTTTGTTAATTACATTTCATATTAATGTATTCTTCTGATAATAAATGTTAACGTATATGTAACATTATTTTGAAAATATTTGGATGCCAAAATCGTATTGGAAAACGATATAAAAACAAATGTTCGAAAGGAAATATAAAATGATTATTAATGTTGTCTAGAATAATTAGTAAATTGAACTGCATTTTATTTGTGCTTCACTTGCAAATATAAACAAGACAATAAATCGATTCCTCTACTTACTTATTGTTATAATAAAATGTTATCCCATTATTCTTATTCTGTCCAAAACATTGATTTATACGTATTAATATAGTGAACAACAAACACCAGGACACTTCCATCATAGCACTCTTTATAAATTTATCATTTAATTTCTTTTGATAATGATGTTATATATACAACACCATTTGTTTAGTAATACTGTTCTGACTATTTGACAATGACGGACGGGGGATGACATCTTCGACGTTTAGTTTTTCTATTCAAACGATTATCGTTGACGGTTGAATAAAAATTTATTATTTTCTCATTTAGGTATATATTTTTCTTATGACTTACTAAAACATGCTTACAATAAATGTTAACTCATTATTTCATATAACATTTTAAGAATTTATTCCTGATACAAAGCATATTATTTATATGTATGTTTTTGTATTATCGATGACCATTTTATTGTTTTGAAGTTACATTGACTGGTATTATCGGTATAAAGAAAAACTGTCATGAAGGAAAACAATAAGATCAATCTCGTGTCTCTTCCATTCTACTCGACACTGGAAGAATATACTGTGTACTCTTTGCACGGATGAAGGCCATTTCATAAAATAATAATAAAAAAAATAAGATCAATCGGTACAACTTGAATATTTAAAAAAACTATCGTGTAAAGTCGCTATTTTCACTTTAAATGAAAGTTCAGTCTAATATATAGCTTTTTTTGACGTGATAATTTCTTTAAAATCGTTTTAGTCGGGTGACATGTTCAGAAACTTGTGTCACACCAAAACCTCACGAGCGAGATCGCAGGTATAACGAGAGAGAGACGGACCGATCTCCCGTCTCATGTCGAGCGCTGCCAGTCATTCCGTGAAACTTGTCACGCGGAATCCTCACGAGCGGAGGCAGGCATAGCGTTCGAGTGAGTGGACCGATCTTCCGTCTCTCTCACTCTAGCGGCATACAAACGAATGGAGATTTTCTCGTGCGGTTAAGTTTTCGTTGAATGTATAAAAGTATGTTTGTATGAATGTATGTATGAAGAAAAATGTATATCATAGTCGAATAAGTAAACTTGTTATTTTACACCCGAAATTTATCATCAAAAGTGTGAACAAAACGATGGATGTAATTTAAAATTTGAAAAAATTGTTATCTTCATTAATTCCTTACTTCCCAAAAACTTATATCACCAATAAGACGTTATCACGTAAACATCTTGATCGTAAACCTACTTTACAAACAACCAACTTTTTCAATCCTTCTGATATCGCGACCCCTTTACAGGTTGAAAAATTTTGGCGACTCACTTGTGACTTATACGGGCAAAGAAATTTTTAAATTAAAAAGATAAGTTAAAGTTGAAGACATTCTTTGCAATGGTGGACACGAAAACTAAAGAAAGTAATAAACTTCAATTACAAGCTGATTTGAATATTAATATTTCAAAAATAACACCAATACTTGACATCCTTTTGTTAAATTAATAAGCCCATCTTTCTCATTCAAATTTGTTTTTTATTCTAGTGGAAAACTTGTTTCTTTTTGCCGCCGACCCCCCGAGTAAGTCTCACAACCCATAGTTCGAAAAACACTGCTATAGAAGAAGTTTTTTTTTATTATTTAAGACCTCTATGCCCTACCTCCACAAACCTCTGTAACAGCTGCCAGTCGCTCCGTACATCTGTGTGTAATCAAATAAAACATCTTTATAATCGAAACAAGCGCGTTTATTTATTAATTACATAAATCATTTACACATTCACAGCTCACACCTCGCTTTGGTCAAATCTAAAACATATTTGGCCGATAATAAGAACAGTTACAGAACAATAAACAGCTGTCGGGGAAGTTATACAAAACAATAACAGGGTTACTAAACTAGGTTTGACATCAGGATACACACATATGAAGGTTGGCAGTTGGCAGCGACCTCACAGACAGACACACCGGGCTAGATATATAATTGAGATCCATGCATACACCTAGGGACCACCAGGTGGCCATAAATATTACAAGGCTAACTAACTGGAGCCCTGCATCTTAACATAGGGAGCGGTCTTCATCGGAGGGATACAGAACATATCACTAAAAGTCTCACATCAACTGGTTTACATACTCTTACTGACACTAACACGTTCCGAGGGTCAATGACCTCACTTACACTACACTACTCCTTACAGAACCGACTACTTACTAGATATACATTTAGAAGGCACAGTCACAGGAAACAAGAATATAAACTTAATAATTAACTCGCATCACGCCCCAGCGCCGCTCACACCCGCTGAGACGTTTAACAAATATACAATTATAATGGAAGCTTATGTTTAAGGGGTCGCTGACCCCGCCGCCAGTGGGCGGAGTCAGCTCCCCGCGTCGCTACACGCGACCTCGATCATGGACAGTTACGGGCCGCGCGTACTCATATATATATATGTATATAATGTAATATATGTAACAACTATCATATCAATAAATACATTTCTATTCTACTCTTAATATTCGTACAAGCTGCATACAATAAGTTACAGTAGTTACATCTAGGACTTATCTCTACGGATCACAACGGTACAATGGAAGCTTACAGGTCGTCTCTGGCGGGCCGTACTCGACACCCGCCTTCAAGGAGCGAGTGTTCATCTGTTTGAATCTAACAGTCAGTTGATCCACAAGTCATTATACTTCTGATTCTTATGTTACATGTGTACATCTCATCGTCTCCCTCTCTTCTCGTACTCCTCGAGTTCGTTTCTTTATTTTTTGTGTCTCGATATCTGTTTGGTTGCTCTGTAACATCACATAATACATTAGACATATAGTTCCACCTCGTCTATCATTTCTGTATATATATGTGTGTGTGTGTCCTACATGTTGGTCCGTCTGTCCTGTCTGTTCTCGTCGGACCTCCTCGCCGCTCGTGTCCTCGGCCGCGAGGTCTCCCCACACAGGCCGGGCGTCAGGGACTTGATACACCTGGAACACACATATAGATACTTCAATACATACAGTAACACAAGTTTGTTGAGTTTTACATTAATATTCAATCGACGGCGTGAGTGTGTGTGTGTGTGTCTGTGTACGTGTCTCACCTGGCCGCCTCCTGTAGTTTCCTGGTGAGCAGTTCGTTCTTGAGCCTGGCGGCGGCCAGCTCCCTCCTCAGCTGCGCCTTACTCTTGTTCCCGGCCGGGTGCAGCAGCGCGTGTCTCCTCAGCCGGGCGGCCGAGGGTCGCTGGCTCGGGTCGGGGTCCACCATTTTCTGTGGTTGATATAAACTTTAGTAACATCATTAATACAAACTCCAGGACTGACTGAGGCGAAGCCAGTACCAGCTCGTTCAGTTAATTAACTCATGTAAGACGATCCCATTATGCATCTTTAACATTTCATCTCATTTGTGTTATTAATAACTGTTTAACTATGTCAGCACATTATCTACTACAGTAGAAACTCGATTTAACGACCTAATCGTTGTTGATAGGCATTCGAATAATCGAAAATCTGGATAGTCGAATGTATGAAGAAATGCGGGTTATATATTTATGTAGTACATAATATTATATGTTTATTTAAAAAAGTAACAAATGCATATCAACGATAATCAATGTTTGTTAATAAATAATCTATACTAATAATTATAAAGCTGAAGAGTGTGTTTGTTTGTTTGTTTGAAAGCGCTAATCTCCGAAACTACTGGTTCGAATTGAATAATTCTTTTTGTGTTGGATAGTCCAGTCCTCGAGGCAGGCTGTAGGCTATATAACATCACGCTATGACCAATAGGAGCAAAGATATAGTGGTAAATGTGTAAAAAACGGGAGAAATTATTTCATCTTTGAAGCCTTCCGTTGCGTGCGCCGTGAAAACGGTTCAAGATACACAAAAAATATGTGTTAAAGAATAATAGCTCTTTTAATGATTTAAAAAACAGTCGACGACAGTATATGTCTATCTTTTAAGATTAACTCACAAAAACCGTTTTTATGGTACCTAATTTTGTCCAAATAATTTGTTTAAGTTGAATCAACATAATAATATTAATTTTTAAACAAATAAATATGTTGTTGGTTAAGAGTACTTCATTGTGAATTTAAAAAAAAGATAGATTTTATCCTGAAAATTCTACGGGAACTCGACCATTCCGAAAACCCCGCAAGAACGGGAACTATGTGGGAATAACCAAAAATCTGCCGGAAGTCACTATTCCACGCGGACGGAGTCGCGGCAAAAGCTAGTTAAAGGATAATTTTTTCTTAGATTACATATACATACATATACTTGTATGTACTGAAAAACTGCAGATTTAATCATGAAATAAATTACAATATGTATTTGGTAATTTTCAATTGGTAACCATGAATTAAAATAATATGTAAGTTTAATTTGCTTTAAATATTTAGTAATTGTCATTTGACGTACGCCACTCTCAACAACACCACTCTCTTACGCTTTACCATTCTTTCTTGTCCGTAGTCCGGATAATCGCGAATCCGTATAACTGAGGGCCGGATAATAAAGTTTCTAGTGTATTATTTTGTTAGTCACGTGTCGTGTACCAACCTTGAGTAGCTGGTTGAACTCCCTCGACAGCTGAGGTAAGGTCGGTAGGTGTCCGTCTCTGTACGCGTGCCACTGAGGACCGTTCTTGGGCAGAGGACCTCCGCCGCCCGCCTCGAACAACGTCAGACCTGCACACAGACGTATATGTTATAGTACATGTGATCTATATCAGTGTGTGTGTGTGTATGTCAGTGTGTATGTGTGTGTGTCTCACCGAACGCGAATATGTCCGCCTTGGTGAGGTGCGTGAAGTCCTCCTGCAGCACCTCCTTGGGCAGGTAGCGGCAGTCCCCCTCCTCCACGGAGGGCGAGGAGGTGCACGTCACGTGTCCCAGGTCGCCTATCTTGTACTTGTGCGTGGCGGGCGGCAGGTCGTCGTCGTCGTAGCCGTCGTCCGAGTCCACGGCGGCGCCGCTGTCCGTGCAGATGAAGATGTTCCCGGGCTTGAGGTCCATGTGCACGAGCTGCTGCGAGTGTATGTAGGCCAGCCCGTCCGCCACGTGCGCCAACACCAGCAGCAGCTCGCCCTCAGTCAGCGGCCCCGCCTCCATCTTCTGCTGCAGCGAGCCTCCGTCGCAGTACTCGTTCTGTATGATCATGTGGTCGTCCTCCGCCCACGCCGAGTAGTACCTGTACATTCATATTAGTATATATAAGAAATAGCAATAGAAATAAGAAATAGTGAAATAATAATAATAACAATGCCGCTAATAATAAAATTATAAAAAATAATTATATATAGGAGGAAATAATGTTAATATTGATAAATAATGATACTACAAATGTTACGATAGACAATCAGTAAATGGAGAATAGAATCAGTTAATAAATGCAAAATGACATATGAAATAAATAGAATCAACAACCCCCCTTTATTAATCCCTGTAATAAAAGAAAGACTAGATAATAAGGCAGGTACACAAGTAGTTTAAGAATGGAAGGGACGAATGAGAGAAAGATAGTGTGCGGAAAGAAAGGCCATCGTGACTCATAAAACTGGAATGAAAGAGAAAATGCAAAAAAGGTCCTTGACCATGTCAGGGGAAGTAGAAAAAAATATCAGTATATAGTCTACAGTCAATCTGGGTAACTTTGACAGATGAGGGTGATATTTTATACTATATTTTAAAAAATTTAACCTATCACTCGAGTGTTTTTATTTTATCAGTGCTCTCGTATTTTGTAAAATCTTGAGCATAACTTGTTTATTCTCCCCACTCAATATAGAGAAAATCGTCATTAATAATTGTGTAGAGCCCAGGCTGTTTAATACTGATAGTACTGTTATCTTGGCAAGTAGCAATGTGATTTTTCTGAGTAATTCGTACTTTCTAAGAGTATTTAGACATCACTGAATAATGGTGATTCGAAAAGAGGGTTGATGTCAGGCTGGTGGCTGGTTGTAAAAACAATTAGCCAAAACTATTCACAACATGTAAGGCAGACCCTGGCTATAGCTGGGAAATTGCCAGGCAGAAGAAGAAGAATAAGTACTGTTATCTACTATAGATACTATTTAATTTGAATAATTTCTCTTTTATCTGGTCATTTCCAACCACCTTGTGTTTATCTACTCATGACAACAATGTATAATACGGGAATGTGAAACTTGTTACTTTTCCTGGAAACAGTCTGCCTTCTGTTTTAAATATAACTGTTGTTCCAGGTCAGAACTCAATATATTGAAGTTCATGTTGCAAAACTACATCTTTAACAACAAATTCTTCAATCACCTCTTCTACCACCATTTCAGTCTATGTAAGGGTTCTGTTCAAAATACGTATCTTCATATTTATGCATGAAATTTCAAAATAAGACGTAATTATATGCAAATTTTTCATGAAAATGTGGTAGTCCAATCACGAATGGCTCTTTATAACATCTCACTTACTTTATCAGCAACCAAAATCACAAAATATTCAAAAAGTTATTCACCCTAAAATAAACTTAAATTCGCTCACTATACATATAATCAGAAAAAAAGTTTTGACTTTTTTTACTTTCACAACTTACTTTTTTTTAAGGTGCGTTTAGGAAACTTGTTTAAAATCGCAAATCTAAAATAAACATATATGAATAGTGTTGGTTTCATGCGAAAAAATAATCGAAACTAGTTCATGGTCCCGCTGTTAAAGTTACTCGATGAATCAAAGTTACCCAGATTGACTGTATGTGTCACGCTATCTCTCTATCCGTGTGTGTGTGTGTGTGTGTGTGTTCGTACCTCACTAGATGCTCGTGTTTGCCGAGCGCGGCGTGCGCGTACACCTCGTTGAGCGCGGCCCTCTCCGCGGCCGAGCCGGCCACGGGCCTCAGACTCCTCTTGAGCGCGTACACACACCCGTCCAGCCTGTTGAGCGCCCTCGCCACTCGCCCGAACTGCCCCGAGCCGATCACTCCCAGCTCCATGAACTCCACGTTGTACCGGGAGATGTTGGACTCCTGGCGGACGGTCAATACACACATTAGTACTACGTCATCATGCTGTACATTACATATAGTGTAGTATGTATAATGTATATGTTCGTCACCCGTAGTCTCTTGGCAGGTTTCTCGGGCGTGCTCTCCCCCAGCGTGGGTGTCTTGGACAGCGCCCTCTTCTTCTTGTTCAGCGCTTGACCTGTCAACATTCAGCATCACGTCACAACGAGTCCACAGATACTCTATACATATAGTATGTCAGTGTGTGTGTGTGTGTGTGTGTGTGTTACCGTCGGGTGTGAAGGGGTTGATGTTAGCGAGCGGTCGTCTCCTGCGGCAGTCGTCGTCGTCGGGCGGCAGGCTGCCGAGGGCGGAGTCCTCGTCTGACGGCGGGTGGAGGTGATGACTGGAGCCCGACATACCTGAACAATGTTCATATTATATATATGTATGTTATACTATGTGTAAATCTGAGTAGTGTATGAAGTATCGCGAGACGATCTTACCTGTGGGTGCAGTAACTTTGGGTGGGAACAGTCTGATCCTGGAGGTGTGGTGTGAGGGCGTGGAACACTTCTCCAGGAGGGTCTTGGGTGTGTGCGGACTGTCGAACAACCTGGAGAACAAATAACATATATATAATATATAATAACATAACTTGGTTGAGGCAGGGTACAATCTAGGTGAGAATCACTGTTTGTAAAGACAGTATTACTCTTCTTCTTAGTACTCTGCCCCATCTAGGGGACATAGGACTAAGAAGAAGAGAAAACATAACGTATATTACAAACAAACGACACGACTATTGTTATATTTATAATACATATTACACAAAAATAAAAAAACAATTATCAAGCGTCTACTACCGTAACCGATAAACTCCCCAAATATACACACTTGCAAGAAGCTGTACATACACTTGTATGAAACAAACTCACACAGGTAGAGGTCTGAACAACACCTGAAGCTGGCACAAACAAATATAGATCTTAAGACGTTACACACAGAGACCAGAAGGACGGGTCACACACACCTGACGTACATAAAGGACTACCTATAGATACAAAAGAAAAATACTGCTTTGAGATCACACCACTGTCATGTAAATCAGCCTTGTAGAGATGAACAGATACAAAGACCGTATATATACGCCAATAATTCACGAACAAATATATATGAAATAAATAACAAGGTAATGATATGTATGACTTTCGCGAGTATTCATTTAAATGAAACTAATATGTCCGTATGTACTACGCGTATTTCATTATTTTAACTACATACTCCCTACGTTTCGGTTACTTTGCACCAACCGTGATCACGGACGGACGAAATCACAAGATGTTCATATAAAATCATTCTGTTTTTCTGTTGTTGTTTTATTTTAGTCGCATTACGAAAAATGACAAAAAAATTCCATCTCTGTGAGTGATGGTCGTCATTGTAAAACCTACTCTACGTGTAGAGCGGAAGGTGTTGTTTAGCTCATTCAAACCTTCTCAGTGTCAAGGTGCATATATTTTTTGTTCAGCAGATGTCAGCTGTTGGATCATATGTTTTGTGATAACTGTACTATAACTGATTTCAACCGAAATATAAGAAAAAAAAACATCTCCTTTGTTAAGAATATATTGCAAATACTTTGTTATACATACATCTGTGTATGTTTTGTTAACAGAGTACCTTAGTGATGTGTTGTGATTATTTTTAGTATTTATGTGAGATCTGTTAGTAAACAGTGAGATGTAGAAACGAAATTTGAAGTTAACTGAATATGCATACAAGAAAATACTGAATCAATTAGTTTGATTTTTGATGACGCTGTAATTAATACAAGTCATAGTAGTTCTAGTAGTCTATACAATGGATGTAATATTGTTTTATTATATCCATACTATAATATTATAAATGTGAAAGTAACTCTGTCTGTCTGTCTGTTACGCTTTCGCGCCTAAACCACTGAACTGATTTTAATGAAATTTGGTACAGACAAAGAGTTGACCTTGAGAAAGAACATAGGATAGTTTTTATCCCAAACTTTTGAAACGTTCTCTTGGAAACGCGATATAAACGAACTCCACACGGGCGAAGCTGCGGGCGGAAAGCTAGTTATGAATATTTATTTTATTACACTCAACTGATATGTTACTTCTACATTTCATAATGTATGTAAAGAGAATGTTGTTTATTAACATAAGACAAATTATTCCTTTGTAAATGAAGGTGAAAGGAACATATTTCCACCAACACTAATGAAGTCATGCTACAAATATCACTAATATATATATATATATCATATACTATTATATAATGGTACTCACAGAATTATTAAAATTTTTGTTATTAAATGGAGGAAAGTTTTTATTAGGGAAAAATAATGATTTCAAAGTAATGTTGGAGACCAGTTATAAGAAGTTGGTGACCAACTAACAATATGATGACCAAGAAATAGTCCCATTCTTAATAACAGATGACGACATGAGAAAACAAACTTATTAGTATAGAATAATACTCATAATGAATGGGCAGATAGAACAGTATGGAAACTGAAAATAGTATGTTTACATAATTTTTAATAATTTTGCCAACAAAAAGATATTTTTATATTTAATTGTCATTGTAACAGGCAGTGAGTACAAAATAACAGAGTGGAGCGAGCTGATCTAATAGAGAACAAATGATTTTGATTCTTTAGGTATTTCATACTGAAGTCAAGTGAATATAGATGTAGTTCACACTATATACAGGGTGACTGGTGAATTACTATCGATACTTGAGGACGTGATATTTGACGACCATATATGACAAAATAAAAATTAATATAACATAAATATTAATAAACTTCTAAGTAAAGTTAACCAAAAGTTATGTAATTAATTACGCATCGTGTGAACACCCTACAGATTAGGTATACACACACACACACACACGCGCACAGGCGTCCACACTTGGAACACTTGGAACGTGTCAACACTTTATTTATTTATATGGAAATTTGGTCAAAAATTAAGTACCTATTTTTTTTACATAATTCGAATGAGAATCATGTACCGAGTATGCTCCTTAAATATTGATAGTAATTCACCAGTCACCCTGTATATAAAACAGCAGTCCATTAGTCAATCAACCTATATTCCATGCATAGCCGAGTCTAGTACACAGCTATTTAATAGTGATAACACACATCCTGTTACTCAACATATAATTTAGTTAATGAAACATACAACTATGTTTAAATAAGATGGCTATAGTATTAATATTGATGATCCTTTGTCATAAACATCTCATCTTTAAGCAAATCTACATTAATATTCACTTATTACAATGTTTCAGTGTAGGAAACTATTTAAACATTATATTTATTAACTTTTAATCATTTTTATAGTGTTGTGGTGTTACAAAATACATTCTGAACTCTCACATAATATTAGATGAAGCAAAACTGGTTAGTGTGAACAAGTATGTAGACTCAAAGACATGTTCAAACATGTTCAGACATGATCCGACATGATTGGAAATGATGTAAATATATGGAAATTGAAAATTATAAAGACTTGGTAATGACATTAAAGGTTCCAAATATATGAAATAAAAGATTAAACATACAAATTATTATTATAGTATCTATATATACATATATGATTTATGTAGTGTTTTGTAACATTTACATTGAATCTATGTCTCTATGTGACTGCCGACTTATGTTTTTACTGTATGTAAGAATATACTATTATAATGATACTTTGTTCAAACAATACTACATCTTAAAAATGGTATGAACTGTGTGTTTGTACTAATTTTTATATTTAATATTATTGTTATCTACCTGTATAATGTTTCAAACATGTGTGATTCATTAAATATATATCTAATTATTCATATTTTTAAATTTCACATATACTTGTCATAGTGTTTTACTCTTCTGACATATTACAAAGGCTAAAAAATGCAGAAAAAATACAAAAAATGACTGAATGATATGAATGTTAGCCGTTCTATACCTATTCAAAAGCTTCCAGAATGTTTCTTAAGCTTTGTAGAGCTTTGCAAGTTGAAAACTATTATATATAAATAATTTGTGTGAAAACGAGAACGAGACTTTAGATGGACAAAAATTACGATTAACTTAAGTTATATAAGTGAATATGATTAACATAGTTAAACCAGTTATTAATTATTCCAACTTGTGTTCTAACTGTATGTTTAATACTTTCTCATTGTCATGTACACACCTGTCGTAAACAACATACAAACATGTTGTTGTGTCGTGTTATAGAGATAAATATTCGTTTTTATGGAGTCTAACACGTTCAAACGTGGTGTTTCTAACTTAACTGTTTGATACTTAGTAAAGGTACTTACTTCAAAGCTCTAACTCTCTTATACGGTGGACTCAGGGATGCTGTAGTCGGTGATGTGTTCCGAATACACTCATCATCGTCCACAGAACTAAAATCCAACTTCCTTGGCACTATTGCAGCCGGTATGGGGCTCAAATTATCAGAAAATATGTTGAAAGAGTCTGATATATCACATGAAGTCTCTACCGATATTTCGGAAGAATTATGTTTATTATTGAAACCGTTCTTCATCCTGTACCACTCACTCATGTTTAATTACACATTAAAAACATTCACAGAAATAAAATAACAAATAATACGATTTATTTCAACAAAGCTGACAAAGCTCACTTTCACAAATTCCAACGTTATGGCGGATGACGCATAGAACTAGTACGATCGATCGACCAATCACAGAATAGTATTTGACCGGTAATATAAATAATGGATTGTCATTGGCTGAAGTTAGTTTTTTAAATAACGAAGTAGTTTATTCAATGGTAATTGGCTAGCTTATGGATGCGTTCCAATTTAAGTATTAAAAAATTACTTAAACAAATTGTTTATTAAAAATATGATATTTTAAGATGTGATTGAAAAACCAAAGTACTTATGTTAAAGTAAAAAAACGCTTCAAAAGTAGTAAACGAGAGCACAAAAATTAAACTAACTCTCATTATTTCACTTTCGATTTACTATTCTTACCATGCATTAATTATTTAACATGATGAAACTTTTCAAGTTTACCAAAAAAACAGTTTAAATTATTTAGACGTAAACATACAGAGAATACTTCATTTAGCTTCTATTTTGCAGGCAGTTTTATTTCCAAATCCAAAAAGAATTAAATTAGCAAAAAGCCAACATCACGCGGTGTTCCCAGGCGGTCACCCATCCAAGTACTGACCGCGCCCGACGTTGCTTAACTTCGGTGATCGGACGAGAACCGGTGTATTCAACGTGGTATGGACGTTGGCAACTACCTTTTGAAAAATTGTTATTATATTGCAATACATATTTAATGATGTACTAAAATAATATATTGTTTTAAATTTATTATTATATTATAATAAATTGGAAATTAATTTGTAATTATCATTTTTGTTAGCGGTAAAAATATGTCTTACCAATATAAAGACAGTTTTATTATGATATTTGTTAATGCTTGTAATGATTTAATAAAAATATAAGTAAACAAATATTTTATTTCAAATAATTTTGTGACACATTTTAATTTTTGAAACGAATTCAACCTAGGAATACTACTGCGCCATCTGTACGGAGTAGTGAACATTATTTTTTAGTAGTTACATTATTTCATGTACTGTTTCAGCTATTGTACACAAGATGGCGGTTTTAAGTCCACTTGATAACAGATGTCGCTACCTCTACTTTTTATTTACAAAAACATTCTTCACACAGTATTCAATTTAAAAGGAAAATTAAATATTTTGAATTTTATTTTATGTTTCCTCAGGACATCCTGCCTGTAGGAACATTAAATGGTGTAGCTTAAGGTGGAACCATTTATTTTTCCATTAAACAAAAAAGTATTTCAAAAGTTTATTCGTCAAGTCATAATATAAATTAAAATTGTCTCCATCGCTATTCCCGAGTCGTTACTATTACTATTTATTAAAGTGTATTAGAACATCGTTAAAGGTATCGTAATAATTATTATAAAAGAGCAGTCCGCCTTTTCGGGAGAAATCGTAAACAAATTTCAAAACGCCAGAACATTCACAGCAAAAACAAAACGCCTCCCATCCGCAACAGAAACAATTAGCGAGCCGGTCGAACTGATTGACGTGGCCTCGGGCCTCGGACTGCGGGCCCCGGGCCCCCCGCACCCCGCACCCAGACCCGGGGGCCTGGGGCGGGGGCCCGCCGGTCAGCCGCACGCCTCCGATAACATTTTGAATTTTAAGTTAGTTTTTCAGTTGGATCCATCCTTATGTAATTCTTTCTTCGCCGTTCATTATTCTATTGCTTCTCATTGTCTCCTCAGTATCATCTTCAAATTTGTTTTGTTTTCTGTTTTGTTCCTCACTCTTAAAGTAACTCGGTCAGAAATCTTCTTTGATTTGTATTCATCACTAGTTTTTGCCCGCGACTTCGTCCGCGTTAGTTTGGTCAAGAGTAATATATGTAGGTATAGCTGACCGGGCGAACTCTATTCCGTCTTAGAGGCCATAAATAATCAGGTTTTTCCTGTTTCAATCGAACAGAATGATTGACATATTAGTTAGTTGTCAAATCTAATGTCAAAAAAAAACGTTGGTATGGGAAATAGAAAAGGGCTGTTTTTAGGGTTTTCCCGGCAATTATTCAAATTTTTCTCACCTTTTAAACTTTCCCTGGACTTCCAGGAGTATTTCAAGACTAAAATTAGCCAAATCCGTTCAGCTGTTCTCGAGTTTTAGCGAGACTAAGGAACAGCAATCCATTTTTATATATATAGAAGATTATTAATCCTTGAGAGTTTTCTTATGTCTCGTGTCCGTGTGTCGCGGTCCGTCTGTCCATCTATATCTATGTATGTATGTAAGTCATCTGTATCTTGTAAGCTGATCTCTTCGGTGGTAGTAAGTGCGTCGGTCAACACTCCGCGCGGCCCGCACGTGGCACGTGGCGCGTCTCACGGACTGTTTGTGTTTTAGTTTGTAACAAAATAATATCACTATTTGTTCCATTATTATCATCGAGCAATCTGACACCGACACACACACACACGCACACCTCACGTTATACAAGACGATGTATTCTTAAACTATATTCTGTAATCACTTCTAAATTCTATTCAATACTAATTATGTATATGTTATTAAATTCTTCAAAACACTTCTTTAATGAAAACTCTAAACTACACATTGACAACAGGATAATCTTCTATATATATAAAAATGGATTGCTGTTCCTTAGTCTCGCTAAAACTCGAGAACAGCTGAACGGATTTGTCTTATCTTAGTCTTGAAAAGTTCGTGGAGGTTCAGGGAAGGTATAAAAGGTGAGAAAAATTGGAATAATTGCCGGGAAAACTCTAAAAACAGCCCTTTTCTATTTCCCATACAAACGCTTTTTTTGACATTAGATTTGACAACTAACTAATATGTCAATCATTCTGTTTGATTGAAACAGGAAAAACCTGATTATTTATGGCCTCTAAGACGGAATAGAGTTCGCCTGGTCAGCTATACATATGTTACTAATGACGAAACTAACGCGGACGAAGTCGCGGGCAAAAACTAGTCTTATAAATAATATTAATCGTGTAAAGTTGTTTCTGATAGTATAGTTGATGACTTCATCAGTGATACACGTTGATACACCAGTGACGGCGCCAGGGACGGACTCGGGGTCGGGGGGCACGCCTAGTGTTATATGAACAGGCTGGATGATGAAACTATACTGGAGATGAAATGTGACAATTACAAACAATATAATTAATGGCAGTTAAAGTCAGTGGTGGCCTAGTGGTTCAAGGGCCCGCCTCTCGTTGCCGAGGGCGTGGGTTCGATCCTGGCAAGTACGAAGGTGATTTTTCCGAGTCATATGTAGTTTCTAAGACTATTTAGACATCACTGATTAATGTTGATTCCCAAAAGAGAGTTGACGTCAGGCAGGCGGCCGGTCGTAAAAACAAATAGCCAAAACTATACACAACATGTAAGGCAGACCCTGGCTATAGCTGGGAAATTGCCAGGTAGAAGAAGAAGATAGTGTATGAAGACACCTAACACACACTATACACTAATGGTCACTAATGGTTGACTATAATATCTATGGTTTAATACACTATACATTTCTATCTGACCCTCTCTCCAGGTTTATGAGTAGTCCAGAGAGTCTTCATCACGTAGTGTCTCCCGCCCAGTCCGCGCCTGTGTCATGTTTACATTCAGTACATGGAGCGTGGATGTGGGAACGATGGAGGAGGTGTATAAGATAACTAATATGGATTAACATATGATACGTGGTCTAGAAGCGATTAATCTGAAACAGTAAATTAATTCTCATCAATGTTTCCTATAGCATAAGTTAGACAGAGGACTGTTCATCCTAGGCTGAGGGTATCTTCATATTCGCGGAGTTTGAACACACTAAAAGTTCTTTTCTCTGAAGACTGTCCCTGGTGTGTCTCCTTTATCTCCAGACAACCAAAACCTCATTCAGTCTGTATAAATTCTCAATCATCCTCACGTCCAAACAAATTGGTTCGCTTCGTCGTTTCTTCGCCAGAAACTATCGCTAGAACAGTCTGTGTTCCCTCACAGTCATAAGATTAGCTTATCAACAGGCATGGTCGGAGCTAATCAGTGCTGGTCAAATAATAATAATAATACACAAACACATCATTAAAGTTGTATACAGTATATAGTACCGTGACACAGACGATAGATAGATTAAAATAACTAATGTATGAAACTCACTTTATTGGAACGACATGATAAAAGTTAAGACGACAAAAGCTAGTATATTATATGTTGTATGTGTAAAAATTGTTATTGAGAAACACCACAAAAAATCATAAATAATAGATAACAAATCCAATTCATATAAATTTCAGCTCAATATTAGAATACGAAATACGATTAGTAATGTTTTGATACATACAAATCATTCATAAAATGTCCATATATCCCTACTCCAAGGCCAATGTAACGCAACATGCGATAGACGGCCGACATAGTTAATCACGTAGTAATGGTTGTATATACCGTGTCCATAGTTCCCGCTCCGCGTCGTGTCGCCGGTGAGTCTGTGACGTGTCGTACAATGTTTTAACATAACTATTAATGTACTCTCTACCAACACACGCCCCCCTCCCCCCCCCGCAGGTTACTGTTCATTAATACATTACGGTTTGTTTCACCTCCATTAAATACATTACACACCTACTCTTTATCAATAAAACTATTTTTTATTTTGCCGCCATTTTCAAACGTCACCTTTGACATATTGTATTTTGACAGTCTGTATTACATCTTCTTTCAAATTTCACCAAAATCAGTTTGTATTTCCAAATCTTATGTAAAACTCGTCTTAAAGTTTTTTATAAGCTAGCTTACTGTGAACTTGTTAATAATATGAAAAAAACTATCGATTTTTTTACCGGTTATTTAAATGGATTTAATAAAAAATTATTTTTAATATTTATTATTTTAATTTGAATAAATCAGGTATTCAAACAGATCTTTTTTATTGTAAGACACACAATCTGACAATTACGTTTATTTGATTGAGCAATAATTGTCATTATTATTCATAGTTTTAACGTTTTTGATACTTTCAATACCATAATTTTGACTTTGAATTTATTTTACTATAAACTGAGACCTTAAAACGTATTTCTTTTTATTAATATACTTATAACAACTCGGCCACCCATCTAGCTACACTGTCGTTCCCACATCAACAACACTTCAATCCGTTCTGCATTCTTTGAGGGATTTTCGCAAAAAAACGACCACACGCCTTTAAACTGACTCAATGATTATCGCGCAATAACAAACAAAAAACTAACACACTAAAAGATACAAGGATCAAGTAAAAAAACAATAAAAACATGTTAAAAGATAATAATAATGAAAATATATTACAGACGCCTTGCAGTATTTTAACTAAATAAATAATTGTCATGTAATTAGTTGTACGTTGTTTACAATTGACTTTAATCATTTGTTTTCTAAAGTTTAGTTTTCTAAAACATTAGGGTACAAGTAAGTATTCTTTTCTCCATGTAACTGTTCAATAATAATATCATTATAATTTCAATTTTAAGACTTCTATATGTAATGTGATTGTCATCGTTCTGTCAAACACCAGGCTGTCATTCCAATGTAGTGACAGTAACGTGTCATTATAATTATAAAACAAATAATAAATTAAAAGATAATTAATATACAGAAGATTATAAGTGTTCTTTCAAACAGCAATATTATTAATAGTTCTGTTTATTTACAAAAAGACTTTACTTCAAAACTACGCCATCATTTTAGCTTGTACAGTCTTAATTTTAACATTAAATAAATCTGTTATATTAAAACAAAGCACGAAGTATTAATATCCTGTAAGAATTTAAAAATAACAAATCCCATATCAAGTTAACTTTAACCTAACCGTTTAGTGTATAAACTCAAACATCAAATCTAAACTCACCCCCTTCTTATTAAAACGAACGAGCACCGACAAAAAAAAGAACAATGACAGTTCACGTCCGCGCGAACGGCGGGCTAATTTGACATTAAAAAACGCGGGAATTCAATTGGCACATAATTTATCGACGTTTTGAAAATGGAACGTCTTTTATTAATGATGTTTTTTTAATCGCTCAGATGCAGACCATAAATAATGTAACGCTTTCACGCCACGATTGAGTCGAATGAGGCTGAATGTTAATGTTTACAAATTGATGTTTAACTCGAGTTGTGTTGTGTTATACGTGAGACTAGTGTTGTTCACGTGACTCTGTTCACGTAATATAACATATAAGTTAGTTAGTCAAACATGGCATATGTTGATGAATTATTATTATACAATATATACATATTTCATTACGGTTACAGATAAAATAAAGATTATTATAATAACTAAACCGAATCGAACTGATTACGACAATATGCAAAAATGTTTTCATTCATCTGTAAGCTATAACCATTTCTAATTTGATGTAAAATATATTTGTATGAACGTGTTGGGTCCCTACTCCCTCGTCCTAAACTGGTTCCAAACTATTTTTTCCGCTACATTTAAATCCTATGACTTTTAATTTGAATACTTCTATTGTCACTGAAATTACATGTCATAATACTGTTATTATGTAACAACTGACAACATCCAGCCTTCCCTATGCTATTATTGTATTAAATTAAATACAAATCATAATATATTTCTCACATGTAGTGTAACACAAGCCAGGCATCTATATACATAAAAACTGTGCCTAAATTCAATTTCCTCGTTACTTTTGGGAAAACGTTTGAAATTTAAAAAAGCCGCGTACAAAAGTCTAGTGTGTAAGTCTTGGGGGTGGCGGGGTGCGGGTGGCGGGGTCCGGGGGCCGGGAGGGGGGCGCGGGCCGCTCGAGACAGCTGACGTATTGTTGCCTTTTTGAATGCGAGTACAGTGAACAGTGAACAGCCAATATTGTTTTTTTATTTTCTGTTAACGTTATGTTTGTGTTCATTTAACTTTTCGCTGGCCATTTAACTTCATTTTAATAAGTTCTACATTTTTTATACATGAGAACACTGGCTGCTTATTGGAACGTTACGTTTTTTAATGGAGGATATGTTATTGAGAGCTTCTTAATTGTATTTTTTTACGAAGTAAACTCCAATGTGTATTCGTATATATTTTTTTCTTGTACAACATTACTTTAACTGTAACAGGTACATTTCACATCTACAATGCCAGTCGATCTCTCTAAACTCAAAGCGTATCACATAACCCTTCCCAGCGATCCTTTATATTTGTCATATTATAATGTATGTGTAATATTAATCGGCGCGTCGTCTAATGGCGCGTCAATCCTTTATTCTATCACGGGTGTGATTCTGTTCGTTACTTACGACGCCGCAGCGGACGCCATCGTTTAGTCGTTAAGTTGTTTATATCGTTAACAAATCGACATCAACCCTTTAAATATTTATTGTCAATAACTAAACGCCATTCAACTGAGCTACAGAGTAGAGATATTATTACAAAGATTTATTATAGCTTTGAGAATTATATTACGATGAATGGTCGCGTCAATACACTTACATATATTGATAATATTTAAGGAGATAAAATAAATATTATATTGCGTTGTCGGTCATGATTTAATTATTATAAATACATATTATTTCTGAAACAGACATTTGAATCTTGTTATTTTTTGTAATAATATTAATTAGTTGTTAATCGTCTCCGTGTAATGTGACGTCATCTGTCATGGCGTCGCGTCGTTTCTCTTCTAATTCTTTTCTCTAATCTCTGTATATAATAAGTAATCTCTGTATGTGTGCTGGTGAGTGGTGGTGGCTGGTGGCTGGTGGCTGGTGGCACCACATGTCCCGCGGCCACGCGCCGCCACGCGACCTCTCCAGTATTGGCTCTCGTTAAGTTGTTTGTCACGGACATGTTTATTTTATTGGTTTTTATAATGGGATCTGTTCTTAAATGTTCTCTCTTTGTTTAATATTTTCATATAACACGGATTATATATACTTGTAATACTTGGATGTGATTGTTAAATTCAACTAATTTGTTTTGTAAGATCTTATATTTGTGTTAATAAATTCTTATATATTTTTGTTATTATTATTTTAATCCCTTCATAGTCTAGACTAATATATTAATGTAACTATCATTACAGTCTGTGTCTCAGTACTGCCTCGTCTCCTCCACATGTGTGTTATAGCTGTTATTTAATGAATCTAATCGTCGTAATCTGTGTAACCCTCCGTTAGTCCAGCATCAAGCGCCGCCTCGTGTCGTGTGTCGTGTCGGAGACGTGTCGTCATCTGGCCGTCATCGACCCGTTCTTTTATAATGTTCATTGAATATCAAACAACATTCTGTTATTGCATTTAATATATTGAAACTGTCGAAATAAGGACTGTGGAATGGGAAGGGTAATAATATTTAGAATAAAATCGTAAAAAAAATTCTTCTGCTTATAAAAGTATAATTGATGAATGCGATATAAATAAAGTACACATGATATTGGTGCAAAAGAAAATTGACGACAGAAAATTTGAAAGTGATTTGAAAATTTATTCTCATTTGTGTAAAAATAAAAAAAAAAAGATTTTTTTTCTGTTTTATTCCACAGCATTGTGTTTTTATTTGTTTTCGTTTCGCGGGCCATATATTATTACGAGTGGTCGTGTAAGGTGAGGCGTGACCGCGCGTGACTCTAAACATATAAATAACGACTCTCTGCCCGTGACGTGTCTCACCTTCCTATTTATACTTAACGCCTCGCGCCCCCCCTCCCCCCACCACACACACACACACACACACATACTACGGTGACAAATAAGTTGTAATAATGTTATATTTGAAGTTATTCGTGAGGTTCTATATATGTATGGATAAATATAAGATCTGTTTTGGAATCGTAATATTTATTTTTCACATAAAATTTAGATAATTCTTAAATAATATTTACATGTTGGTGCGTTCACAGATACATTCTAGTTATAATAATAATATAGAGCTTAGTACGACACGAAGACGGGGCGGGCCGCGGACCGGCGGATGTACTGTGAGACCTGGCGCCGAGACGGCAAACTGTCAGTTTGTCCGTAATATAGTTATTCGTGGGTATCGAAAACTATCGCAGTACTCGTGTCCGCCCCGTCTTCATTACTTATATAATCTGTGCGATGTGTCCCTAGTATGAGATACAATCGTTAACTTCAAACTGACAGTATGGACGTCACTCGTGACTATCAGTGTGTCAGGAAACGACGGTAACTCATACTCGGGACAGTGCAATATGAACAATGACCATATTATACATTCATTCGATTGGTGATTACGATCGAACTGTAAGTATTCAAGTTAACGTGATCTAGAAACATCGAACGGATGATTGGTGAGTCGTCGACAGTATGTAGGTACTCACACTAAGGCCGTGAACAGTTAACACGTTATCGTTTTGAGCAAACAAACTCAGCGCGTTACATCTATATTTACAATACAACAGATAAATTAATTTATAAAACACTAAAGTATCGGTAGATTTATATTAGTACTACAACAGTTACAGGGCGAGCAGCGAGCACCTTACTACGAGTCCGCGACACACTCAACACGGACAGTATAGAGTATCCCACTCATACAACCACATGATGACTGTATACTGTCAGTATTCAGTTAATGTCTGTACTCGTGGTAAGCCTCTCCCCCCTCCCCCTCCCCCCTCGTCTCAGTGCTCCGTGTATACAAGTCATGTCACGTGGATCTCCTCGTCCGAGCCGCTCGCGTCACTGTAGTACTCCTCCCCGTCATCAGCGGCGGGGAAGGCGTGCTCCCTGAACCCTCTCGTCTCCAGGCCGTGCGTCGTGGCCGGTGGTAGGTACTTGTCGTCCTCGGGCGGCGGGGTCAGCTTGTGCCGGTCGGCCTCCGCGTCAGACAGGTCCGGGTGCGGGTTGTTCTTGTTGGGCAGGGTCTGTTCCCGGGAGCCTCCGGACGCGAGCAGCTCGCGCTCCTTGGAGTTCCTCCACTTCATGCGCCGGTTCTGGAACCAGATCTTCACCTGGAACAGAAGAACCTGTGGTTACTTACACACACAACACATATACACACACACACTCCTGACTAATTAACATACGATCGTATGACGTATCGTACGATACGATGTTTTATAGTAATCTTCTATATATATAAAAATGGATTGCTGTTCGTTAGTCTCGCTAAAACTCGAGAACAGCTGAACGGATTTATCTTATCAGCTTAGTCTTGAAATGTTCGTGGAGGTTCAGGGAAGGTATAAAAGCTGAAAAAAATTGATTCATTACTGGGAAAACCATAAAAACAGCCCTTATCTATTTCCCATACAGACGTTTTTTTTGACATTAGATTTGACAACTAACTAATATGTCAATCATTCTGTCGCACTTCAGAACACGGAGATTAATGGCTTACAGGTAAACTCCAAAAATATAAATAGAAAAACGTAATAGATATTTCTTGATTATAGGCGATACGAAGTTCGCCGGGTAGTCTAGTTCATTAATATTATTATTGATATCAATAACAGTAGTAAGTAACAAAACATATAACTATCATTGAACACCATCCATGCCGCCCGCGTGTGTTTCTGTTTTCTATAGAAGGGGTGTTTTTTATAGTTTCCACAATCCGCTTCATTTTTGTAACGTATATTATAGTTTTTTGTAATAAAACTCATATCCGTAGTTATTGATGGCGGTGGGCGTCGCGACCTCGTATAACACATTGCTTATTATTAAATACGATTTATTAACGAATTATTCATCATGACCATTCTATACACTGACAGATATCGTGGCGGGAAAAATACTACACCGATGACGGATAGAATATTGTACTTTCTGATTTTATTCACGTTTATTAATGTATTACATATGAAGACATAAATGAACATCGTCGGGGCAACATCGTTGTATGGATACAGGATAACATCATATAACTCTTGAGTCTTGACGCCGCTGACTCCGCGGAACGAACACCAAGCGTGTGAACCAGGAGATTCCTGATACACACAAGCTATGGAATGGTATTGCTATTATAACATCGGGTCAATCATGTAGTCTTAGGTGTAGCTTATAAGTTTTAATATGTAATTCTCATTATAATATACATATAAGTGTATTTCGTAGTTTTCTTTGAACCTGTGGTTGCATTCTACGTAATGAATGTATAGTTCAGTGTTTGTTACCTTGTCATATCGTCCACGGGCCGTCGACACTGGCCCATATGAATATTCACACCAGTCTCAAGATGTACATCATCCAACACATTACAACTGTCTCTCATCACTCCATGTTTTATTATCGACGCGGAATGACAAATGATACCGACTATAGATGTAGTTATTGTGAGTTTAATTATAATGACACGCCTGTCATCTATCCTTACAATAGATTCTTTAAAATATATTCGATATAATCATATAGATAATATTGTTACATTCACACAGCACGTCTGTTAATAATCATAGCGAATTTTTAATAAATAATAACGCTTATTTTTAAAAAACATTTGCCAGTTTTAGATGAAAACAATGACAAAAATGAAGCACGCGTAGTATATCCGACAAATATTAGTTTCATTTAAATGAATACTCGCGAAAATCTTCGTCTAATTATGAAAACAACGCCGTTTATAGTGCGTTTGATTTAAGCTGAGCTTTGTATTTGTGTACAGGGAGTGTACACGGATAGTATAGGTGTGATGTCAAATTTTCGAATACCACGGTCTTTTCTAGTTTTGTCTTTTGAACCGATTTGTACTGTTTTTACTCCGCCCCGCACCTTCCTCACTTCACCTTTTGTACTGGTACTAAAAACAAATGTTGAAAACGCAATGTCAAGTAAAAAATATTCATAATATTTCCATCTGGCCTTTTACAAGTTTTGCTTATTTTATAGCACTTATGTTATGTATCTATTTAAATTATAATAAAATTGAATTCTAAAAGTTTTTTTTGTCTAACTCTAGTTTTAATTTCACTCACACAAATGCAAAGCTCAGCTTCGTCTAACGGACTATACCTACGTATTTTGTAGAATAATGATCAATTTCTAAGTAAAATATAGTAAACAGTCCTTTTGTTTAATCCTGAATCCTTGTGTTACGTATATTTTAAGCACTTCCAACATGATAATAACTGTAGAAACTACATTTAGAGGCAAGTTTAATAAACGTATTCAATAATCTGAATGAATATAAAGCTCGAGCCACGTTTAGGACGCCGATGACAAATCACTGTCACCGATAGCGCGGAACCGATAGCCATTCATACACTGAACTGAGTCATTTGTCACATTTTAAATGAACGACGCTTTTTGACTTGCGTTCGGATAATTGAAACGGAAAAGACAAATTAGTTCGGGACTTACGAGTTACGTGTGCGAAAATAAAGAATTGCTGAGATTTTATTGTAAAAAATAACAGACAATGATAAGTTTTTAAGGAATTATCAATCTTGTTCAATTTACTGTTTCTGTAAGAGAATATTTACTACGGAGGTGATTATTATTGAAAGACAAAATTAAAATACCTACCGATAATATGTTAAAGCGATGTATACATATCTTATTTTTTATGTAGCTATTTTTTTTTGTAGTTTCATTGATAAGAATGGACCGTCGGCCGCGTTTCTGTTAATAAATACGCTATGTTCTTACTAAATAAGTAGTTGTTTGTTGTCAAACCGTGTGTACCTATTAATTGAGATCGTTTTTTTATTTATCGACGCCATGTCCTGTCACGTTAGCCGTGTTAATAGTTGAATCTTATAATACAATTAACTGATACATTAAAATATTTTCACAAATTATTTTTCTTTGGAACATAAACTACATTTTTTTCTTTTTGCTTAGCTAAAAATGTAAATATTCACATTTGTATATTCAAACATAAAGACATTACATATGCAGCTCTATTTTTATAACATTATTATTCCTTAAATTATAAATTTAATGTTATCTGTTCAGATAATTCAGTAACATGATTTGTGTCAGGAGTATGAAGCGAGTATTCCGTATATATTAAACGTCGGTTACGTTCCGTTCCGTCAATTAACATTCAATACAAACAGTCTGAAAACACTAGAAATGAACAGAACGTTCCGTTCGACGCATTCATATGTTCAATAGACGCTGCTTCATGTTAAATTTAATCCAAATTAGAGAATCACAAGCGAGGTGATTGATACGCTATTAACTAATAAATAAACATGGAATCAAAGACTAAACAAACATATAGTTCACGATCACCCTCTGTATGTGATGGTTGAGATATTAAGAAGAGGTTTTAAACTCCTTTACTGCATTAAGATGTTTAGTATAAACTGCTATTGGTTTAGTAATTCTACATAAAATATTATATAGAGAAAGTAATCTTCAAGAAAACAACGAGTTTTTTTTAAAAAGAATAGCAAGTTCTAGTTTCTTGAACGTCTTCCTCTGAGCCCAAAGTAGTAATATAAACGAATGTATTATCATCATCAGCCTATCAGAGCCCACTGCTGAGCCTCTTCTCACATGGAGAAGGTTTGAGCATTAATCACCACGCTTGCTCAACACGGATTGGTGATATCAATCTTATATACATATAACTACATGACAGGTATGTGTTGTATACTTAGTCGTTATATATGTAGGTGTACTGTAAGTATCCGTCGTTATCCAAAGTTAATAATCCTAACGAGTGCTCCCTTGACCGCGTCACGTCTGTGACAAGCGAGCACGCAGCTGACGCGACCCCCCCCCCCCTCATACACCCCCCCACCCACGATACATGTCTTTATAACACTGACATACTTATATTAACGTAATACATACATTGAAAAATGATAACTACAAAATATTTTTTACATTACCCAAACCTTTACTATGTCTGTGAAGGATTTTTTATGTGAGAAGTATGAAATCGTTAAAGGAATGTATAACGCTCGAACTCTCCTTATTGTATAATAAAGGAATCAGTAAGTATAAATTAATATTTCGATATGATATTATCGATACTCGGCGTCCGTCCGTCCCCGGTCCTACAAGACGGAGGGTGACGCGGAATTAATTAGTTTTTGACGTATTCAGTTTTATTGCAATTTATTCCGTATAAAGTGACGCTACTAATAGCCGCCGGTTAGGGAGAGCGCCCCTCTCATATATATATAATCTGTTCGTCCCGTTGTTCATAAATTAAGCTGTGAGGAGAACTAATCTTAATATGTATCTGTTACGGAGATTTGGCGATACACATGCTTCACGAACATATGTGTCCTGGCTGCTGTCAACTAATGAGCTCCACGTGTGACGTCACATTATATATTCTTCGGCTGTATGCTGCACGTCGGCTGTACGCCGGCGGTCGTCGCCTCGTCCGCTCCGTCCAATGAATCTGTTCCCGGCCTCGCGTTCCAAATTTGAAATATTCATATTGTGTATGAATATTCAGGCGGGCCGCTGTTTACATTCACGGCGTTCCAATTTCAAATATTTGCATTTATTTATTTTGAATTTGGAACTTTTTGTGTGCGCGGTCTCGCTGCGTGATTGACATGCGTGGCGTCTGTTTGTTCAACTCGGGAGTCGTATTTATTTAGTCAAATTTTTAATTTCAATATAATGGAGTGTTGTACCCTTTCGATGTGTAACATATTTTTATTGTCACAATGTTTGTTCCGTGTGTGTGGCGGTCCCGCGCCCTCCTCGTACCAACAGATAAGTTCTCTATTGTAGAGAACAATTAATTAGTGAACACAAAGGTAAGATCGAGCATCAGATACGTCCTTTGAGTCTCTGTTATATATATATTATTTTTTAATATCCTCAATAACATTACAAACTATTTACTTTGAACTTAATATTTATTATAAATAGTTCAGTATTCTGTTAAAGCTCAACGTTTAATATATTAAGCTCCACGTCCGTATAAAGGTTCACACTCGTTGTCCGCAGTCTTGGAGCGCTGCTTGCGTTTGACATTAAATAATTGTAGGTCTCCGGCCGGCGGGGAGCGGGCCCGGGGCCGGGGCCGGGAGCTGGGTTGATAATAATGAGGAGTGGATCTTGATATTACTTATATTATTGATAATATATTACTATAATCAATACGCTGGGAACGAGTTAAAGAATCATATAAATATAATTAACATATATTTATAGAAACATTATCTATATTAAATATTATTATAGATATAGAATCTGAAATGTTTTTCATATATTTTTTTGTAATAATTTTGATAATCAATTATTAATATATATCGTGTCTGTACGTTACAAGCTCTGTGTCGGAGGGCGGAAGTTGGAATTTATTTAATGATGGCGCCCGGCGGCCGGAGGAAGTCAAACAGAGATTTTTGTATTTGATTGAGGATTAGTTGCTATTGTGACTTGATGGAGGCCGTCCCTTACAGATCACGTGCCTTCACTCACACTGATGATTATAGTCATTTAAAATAAAAAGATTTAGTGTTATATTAACTTGCATCGTGTCTCATCGGTTGATTATTTAAATGTTATTTTATTACTGACTCCTTGTATATAGGAAATTTTATTTTTAACTAAGTACCTATAGTAACAAAAGTATTTTTTTTTAAATTTGAAAAAAAAGTATTTATAGGTATCAAATCTCTTCGAAAAGGATTTTCATTAGGTTGGTATATTTCGCGTTAGTGTGAATTGGGAAATATAAAAATAATTCTTAATTGTCACGCTATAGCTGAAATCAGTTGTCTTGGTCTGTTGGAGAATACTTATAAATAAATAAACAAATAATCTTAGAGACAACTTTTAAATATTTCATTTCCTATAATCAATATCCGAAATGGATCAGTATTCAAAGCATCTCATTATTACATTATATTCCCTAAATATAAAATCAATCATTATCCATTTGTTTCCTTAATACAATCAAACACGTATAAAGTGAGCCCCACCAGCCCCGAGCCCCGAGTCACGAGCCCCGTTAATTTTATGTGTACGACAGTCAACAGTCAGCGGTATCTCCTCTGTGGAACCTTAAACGGCCTAATACAAAACATTCAATAAACAGTAAAACCTGCTCGGAAGTATCCTATAAAAATCAGATATCATAAAAATACCGGTGCGAGGAACCGAACGCACGGAAAAAACAAAAACGACCGACCAATGGCGGGCGCGGAAACAGTTTGATACGATACAAACCGACCAATAGCGGCGCGCCGTCACACGCGGAGCACGAATAGGGCCGGCCCGGTCGAACCCGCGCGCCCCCGGACGCCCGCTCCGCTCCATCTTGAGTCGCGAGGAATGTTATTCTGTAAATTTATGAAGGCTATCCGGAGACGGTGTTCGTTTATTGTTCGTTTGTGCTTTTATTGAGGCGAGATGATTGTCTGATGGTCGTGATGGCTGCGGCGGGTCGCGGGCGGAATATTGATACGAACAGTTTAAGATGTCACGAGCGGGCGCGGGGAATGTCGAATATGAATATTTGATAATGTTACTCTCCGCGGCGACCTCGGATGAAGGCTGCTACAGGAACGATGAAAGAAATAAAACATCAAACGACTGAAGGTAACTGACGGATGATAGACATTGTTATTATTATAATAGTTTGAATTAAGGTTACATACCTACTACGAGAATCGAAGACTTCAAATCGTATATCGAAGTTATGGCGGGAATATGTTTATTTATTTATTTATGTACCAAAAAGAAAAAAAAATAGTTACAATTAACGTATTAGAAAAGAAATGTGATGTACAAAGGATAACTTATCTATTAAAAGAGATCTCTACCAGAAACCCTTTTGATAGAGGAAATGAGAAGAGAAATGTGGAATAGGTACAATAAAAATGTTTTGATTCATGTACCTATACACCACCTCGCATAGTTATGATCATTTTAATTAATAAATTAATAAAAAGTTGTTAATAAAGAATATATACTTGTATTACATGAACTGAATTTCTTCCAGGTACTTGATGGAGTCAAAGTGCATCATTCCCGAGGACGGCGCTGTCTGCCAGAACACGGAACTATGAATAAAGCATTAAATATAAAGAGTTTTATTCCGACCCTGGAAAAATGTTTTTTAACCGGAATTATAAAGCCTTTTCTTGTCTTATTTATAATATGAAAGTTGTTTCGGATCCGATAAAGATTTTACAAAGAAATATACTTAATACCTACGAATGTTAACAGTCAATAAAATGATAATATATATGCCTTTTTATATTTATTTACTAGTTTTTACCAGATTTAGAATTAGAATGCTATAGAGGCAGTAGGTACATAAACACATTTTGAATTTTACGAAACTAATGTTATTCGGTCGAACGGAATGAGAAGTAGGTATCCTATAGCTTTGCTTTCCAACTATATTTCTACTACCGTTCTTGACTTGTAAATAGTATAACTAACACAACTTTCATATATATATAAAGATAGGTAGATATTTATATAATGTCATTACTAAAGGATATTTTGCCGTAGTAAAGAACCGTCTAGTGTTAAAAGATATGGTTGTTGATGACGTCACAAGATCTCAAAATGTAAGAAAGTACATATAGGTAACTTAACTGAAGAAGAAATAGCTCATTAGCTTTTACTCCAACGACATATATTTAAAATAATTTTAATTCTCATACTAATGTGAAAAGATCGTAGTGAAAGGCGAAGTCGCGAAGCCGAGTGGAATAAATATTTTGGGCATCATATTTATTTTTACAAATAAACTCTTCAACTTTACAAATTATAGCTGTTACCCGCGACTCTGTCCGCATTAATTTATATTATTATTTTAGACAATTTAGTTTTTAAAAGAACAACCATGTAAGAGGACTTATGACTAAAAAATAGTTTTTGCTTTATATCGGAGTTATTTCTAAATTGTAGGTAATATCTTCTAAGATGTCCATTGAGATGAAGTGATGTCAAAGATAATTTTGTTCACAATATTATATTTACTCTTAATCAACAACACATTTATTTGGATAAAGATTAATAGGTATTGTTATGTTGATACAACTCTAACAAATAGGTAATTGCATTAATTTCGACAAAATTTGATTACCATAGGTAATTATGGTTCTAGTGAGTTAATATTAAAAGATAGATACATATGTACATATAATATACTGTCGCGAACATTTTTTAGATAATTTCAGAGGAATAATTATTTCATACATATTTTTTGGTACTTATCTCAAACCGTTTCCGCAGCGCACGCAACGGAACTCGGAAGCTATCAAAGATGAATAACTTTCCCCGTTTTTTCCACATTTTCTTCTCTCCTATTAGTCGCAGCGTGATGTTATGTAGCCTAAATCCTTCCTTGATAAATGGTTTATTCAACACAAAAAGAATATTTCAATTCGAACCCGTAGTTCCAAAGATGCGAATCGCTATTTCAAATATACGAACAAAAAGTTCTTCAGAATTATAATAATATTTATATATACATTTTAAGTATACCTAAGTAGGTATATTGAGGCACCTAACCTACTTACTAATTGATTCCGCGGTAACTAATAACATTAACTAAGTATACATATAATTGAGCAATATTCATCTTTATTTTTATTCCATTCTATTGACTAATCTTAGAAACAAATTTAAGGAAAAGTTCGATAACTTCTTAACGAGGGAAAACGAAAGCGTAATTTAAAACAACTCGATCAAATACGGCTGAATAAAGTCAAATGATTTGTTTGAATCACAGAATATATAAAGGCTTCTTGTTAAAAAAGACTGTACCTTTTAAACTAAATGCCTATAATATGATATATGTATATTGTTTTCAGTAAAGGTTTCCCGCACGCGTCATTAATGCTACATGTTTAACGAGTAGTGTGGTTGTAACACGAGGCGTCCCGAGCGGCTGTGATCAGTGACGTACAAGTGTTCACTACCGATAAACTAACACGCGTTGTAATTAACATGTACACACACACTAGGTGTAGAAAAAATTATACACTTAGGAACGTAGAATTATACCTAATGAAAAATGTCATGCAATAAGTAGATAAGTATTTTAGAGAAAAACAAATCATTAACAAATAAATACAAATTTATATATAAAAAGCTATAAGTATAATATAATAATTATTAAAATATCTGAACACTAATAATCATTAAAAGCTCCCAACAGAACCGTATAATTATTAGAAGCGTTAAATTCCTGAACGAAGCGACGCGACGCCTCGGCGCGCGCTAAAGTCACAATTGACATATTAACCTGTTAAAGTATCGGAAGGTTTTAACAAAAACGTTGTTTAATGGCGGCCGGATCGGCGAATGCAAATATCTAGTAATTGTTGAAGCCGCGGGGGGTGTCGGCTGCGGATGACGCACCCTCGCGAGGGTGTATTTTTTGTAACACCCACACCCTGCTACACCCTCGCTGATATAGTTATGGGCTTCTTGATTTTACTTATTTTTGGCTTTGCAGATTACATCGCTCGCTCGGCCGGAGTTTAAGGGTTCGTATAAACAAGTGAATCGAAAGAATAATGAGATCAGTAAGGGATCGTTTTGTTTTATAATATTACGAGCTTGAAGCTGCGGAGATTATTTATTTGTTAAGTTATAAGTAGCGTAAGTGATATTAGAGTTAGGAAACCTTGTCATTGTCAATTAACGAGTGTTATAAGACAATAAATATATTGTTATGAAATCATTACGTCTTTTTTTGATATTTAATACTAATTAAAGCTCACGTCTTTCGTCAGTTTGTGTACCCTATATAAAGCCAAGTGTCCGTGTCCCTCCCTCTCCTCACCTGACTATCCTTGAGTCCCAGTTTCTCCGCCAGTTTCTTCCTGTCCGGTTTGCTGATGTACTTCTGTAACTGGAACCTCTTCTCCAGACCCTTCCGCTGCAGGTCCGAGAACACCGCGCGACGCATCATACCGCGACGAGGCTTACCTACACCATCATAATATATAAGTTAATATTATATTATATTACAATATTAATTTACAAAAATTATATTTTCCGACCGCAGCTTTTCCCGCGTGGATTTCGGTTATATCGCGGTTCCAAGAGAACCTTTCAAAAGTCTGGGATAAAAACTATCCTACGTTCTTTCTAAAGGTCAACTCTATGTCTGTACGAAATTTCATTAAAATCAGTTCAGTGGTTTAGGCGTGAAAGCGTAACAGACAGACAGACAGGCAGAGTTACTTTGGCATTTATGATATTAGTAGGTATAGTCTTAGAAATGTATACAAAATAATTTATTTACTACTCTATGTACTTGTGATGCTGAACTCCTGTATTTTACCTACATTATTTTATTTATTTATTTTCTCATGTAAGTGACTAAGTTTTTAATGAGAAATACCTAAATAAGTATTCTTTAAACCTAAGACTCGCGAGTATTCATTTAAATGAAACTGTTATATCGGATTACTATGAGTACCTACTTACTTTATTATTTTAAACTACAATTCCCGACGTTTCGGTTACTTTTACGGATTGCAAAGTAACCGAAACGTGAGTACCTATGTAGTTTTAAAAATAATAAAAAATTCGTAGTAATCAGATGATATTAGTTTCATTTAAATGTATGAATAAATATATATCACTCTACCTAACCTGGTTTATTTTGTATGTAATTTTGAAAAACTAGACATACATAGATGTTAAGTGGTGCCCTAACTCTTTCATATAACATACTAGACACTAGTAACATCTCCCGGCGTGCACTGACACGTGTAGGTTACTGTAGTAGACTGGTTTATTTCTTTAAGTACTTAAACTTTTTTTTGGATGAGTAATTTAGAATAAATGATAGCAAAACAATAACATCCATATAAGTTTTGGCGCTAAATCCAGACGAATGTTTTTGCTTTATAATTGCCTATTCGGTCAGAGAGCTTGACGAATACTTAGTATTCCATATACTGCCGATATTATTTGTAAATCCTACTTATAACGTAAGTAATAATTAGTACTCACTCTTATATTTGAAACTTAAACGAGTGGCCTAGTTATGTAATGATATAAAATCATTTAATTATCAACTTACCTCTGGAGCTGTGAGCCCATGGGAACCCTCCCGGCAGCGGGAACACTTGCGTGTGGGTCTGTGCGGGCCGGACTGGGTGAGGATAGAACATACAGGTTATACATATAACACAGACGGAACCGGGGCGATACACTAGTTGTATGAGAGACACACTTGTACTAATATATCAATAGGCTGACTATCTGAGCCCACTGCTGAGCTGCCTCTTCTCACATAGAGAAGGTTTGAGCATTAATCAGGGTTGGTGATTTCAAACTTATAATTGTAAATTATAAATCCATGTTTCATCACGATGATTTCCTTAATTATTCAGTGGTGTCTAAATACTTATAAAGTAAGTACATATGACTCGGAACAATCATATTGGTATTTGTCAGGTTTTAACCCCGCGCCCTCATGCATGAGAGGTAGATATTTAACTACTAGGTCTCTAGATAATAATACTAGTGTTGTTATGTGACTCACCCAAGTATGGATGGTGACAGTGAGCCAGTAGATGTTGAAGGTGCTGGTGCTGTAGAGGAACTGGCCGGCTGGCTATGGGCTTGGCGATAGGCCACGGACTGACGAGGGCGGGCTGGCGGTACTCTGGATATAAGAAACACTTAGAATATAATACACGAATATAGATAATACTTTACGATAAAAGGATTCAGAAAAAACTATAAAGTGGATTCAATAATAGTGTAATATAATTAAATATTAATAAAGGCTGTAAGATATTTAATAAAACCTCTCATAAAAGTGCAGTGATTGTTGTATATCTATCTCGTATCAACAAAGCCTCTCTCTAGTGTTGATTCAATCCATTATTCTGGTTCCTATTGATTCTTTTAACTCCTATTATAATATCTATCACACACCCACCATACCATCTTCCTCTCCGCGGTAATCGTTCGCTAATCGTTCAGCGTCTTATATTGAACGTGTTCAAGTCATAAGCGGAGAGCGGGAATATATTTTTATTGTTATTAATCTTATAGATGTATCTTCTCATCATTCCATGTATTCACGGTGCGTGTGTCGTGTCCATCGTTGTAGTGAGAGGAGCTTCAACAGTGACTGTGACTTGTGACCCAGGTGTAGGTTTAAGATGCTCATATCTATCTATTTTATATGTATGTAGAGTGGTTATTATCTAAGTCGTTGGTAGTATGTACTATAGTCCGTCTAATATTCTCTCTCCAAAGGGTAATCTCCGACCCTCGGCCCTCGCCCCCGCCCCTAAGCCCGGGCGCGTTTCTTAGGGCTCCGTCTGTCAGTCGCAGCCGCTCTATATATTGTACGGTCTCTGTAATGCCATTAATCATCTTCAAAGTGTTTTGTTTTTGAGTCCTCGTATTAATTTAAACGGTGTGTGAGAATCTATCGCTGGGTGTAGGGAGGGCGCCGTGTGGCTCAATAAATACATATGGAGTTACGATTGATTATTGTGTTTATATATTATGATCAGACGAGGCATTACTTGAACTAGGTATATTAAGTTTGTTTGTTTTATGTAATCAGTGAACGTAATTCTTATGACGTATTGATTACCTTGAGCTTTAACAGTTACAAGTTAAATCTAGACTTTAGTTATCAAAGTATTTATATAAACCCTAAAACTAGAACTATGGAAAATTGTTATCAATATATTAGTGTTTTTATATTTCATTATTATTAGCTAATTATTATACACGAATAAATATAAAAAGAAATTTTTCCACATTATCCGTAGGTACCTTCCTTTTTATCTCAAACGCTACATAAAATTTAAAAAAATATTAAATACTAGTTTTTGCCCGCGACTTCGTCCGCGTTAGTTTGGTCAAGAGTAATATATGTAGGTGTAGCTGATCAGTCGAACTCTATTCCGTCTTACAGGCCATAAATAATCAGGTTTTTCCTGTTTCAATCAAACAGAATTGACATATTTGTTAGTTGTCAAATCTAATGTCAAAAAAAACTTTTGTATGGGAAATAGAAAAGGGGTGTTTTTATGGTTTTCCCAGTAATGAATCAATTTTTCTCACCTTTTAAACCTTCCCTGGACTTCCAGGAGTATTTCAAGACTAAAATTAGCCAAATCGGTTCAGCCATTCTCGAGTTTTAGCGAGACTAAGGAACAACAATCCATTTTTATATATATAGAAGATTATGTAAATCATATATAAAACAATTAAAATACATAATAGCGACAATCGAAGATCATCGAATCTATTAACCGACTGTGATTAAAAGGTATTATGAGTTCGAGACTGAGGTTGTATTAACGCGGGGGCGCGGGCCCGAGGCGTCCACACGGAAAACTTCGCCCCCGGGAACTGATTTTAATTATTTAACGTATTAATTTGTAAAGGGATGTGTTTAATGGATCCAGAGCCGACCTTAAACGGAGACTCGACGATTAATAAATATATGTACTAGTTGAGAGTTGAGACACCTCTACATACATACTGACACAAGTCATGTATTTAACTTGTTTATATTATCTTCTATATATATAAATGGATTGCTGTTCCTTAGTCTCTAATTATAGTCTTGAAAACTCCTGGAAGTCCAGGGAAGGTTTAAAAGGTGAGAAAAATTGGAATAATTCTATTTCCCATACAAACGTTTTTTTGACATTAGATTTGACAACTAACTAATATGTCAATCATTCTGTTTGATTGAAACACGAAAAACCTGATTATTTATGGCCTCTAAGACGGAATAGAGTTCTCCTGGTCAGCTATACCTACATATATTACTCTTGACCAAACTAACGCGGACGAAGTCGCGGGTGAAACCTAGTTTAAAATAATTGATAAGTATATTATAAGTATTAAAAATAAATGAACTTCGCCGGGTCGACATAGTTGTATGGTTAAAATATATAACTCTTGAGGCCGCTGACTCCGCGGAACGAACACCAAGCGTGTGAACCAGAAGATTCCTGATACACACAAGCTATGGAATGGTATTGCTATCATAACATCGGGTCAATCATGTAGTCTTAGGTGTAGGTTATAAGTTTTAATATGTAATTCTTATTTTAATATACATATAAGTATGTTTCGTAGTTTTCTTTGAACCTCCAGTTTCTAGCCTTTATAATAAGTAGCTACATAGTTATAGTAATAAACAACACTTGAAACAGTTTAACATAACCTACACATGAAAGAGTTGAAACCTCTCTCATAATGAAGAGAAATAATGAAGATTACATCGTAAATATATTATAAAAAGTCTTTACATGTGAACACACTATTCCTATGTTTGTATTTTAACAATAACAGCAATAATGAATCTCGTCAAAAAACATTTGTAAACAGAATATAAAAGATAATCATAAATTCGCCACCACATTAAATAGAGCTCTTTAAATTATTATAAATGAATAAAAAACTCAATAACAAGGAATATCTTTTGTTAGGAGCCACAACAGACAGTAATCCGTACACCTCGGAACAAATAACACGGAATGGGCGGCGACGGGATCAATAATAACTAATAAAATATAACGAAATACGAATAAAAAAAACATTAAAAACGAATCACAAAAAGAGCGGACACTTGAGAAAACAGATTCGATGTTAGGAAATATTATGAACAACAAAAACTGAAAGAAACAGATGATCCGGGAATAAAAAATAATGTGCAACAATGAGACCCTCGCTAGTAGGAATTATGATAATACGGCCGTTATTGTGTGTGTGTTGTGATAGCTGCCGGATTACACGGCTAGTTAGGAACACACAGACAGACTCACGTGTGGAACTAGAGAACAACTAGAACTATATTAAAACAATAATTATATTCAGGAAATCAGTGGTGGCTCAGTGGTTAAAGGGCCCGCCTCTCGTTGCCGAGGGCGCGGGTTCGATCCTGGCCCGGGCAAGTACCAATGTGATTTTTCGGAATCATATGTACTTTCTTTATTATCTTATTTAGACATCACTGATTAATGTTGATTCCCAAAAGAGGGTTGATGTCAGGCAGGCGGCCGGTCGTAAAAACAAATAGCCAAAAACTATTCATAACATGTAAGGCAGACCCTGGCTATAGCTGGGAAATTGCCAGGTAGAAGAAGAAGAATAATTATATTCAGGAGAGTGTTTAATAAAAGCTAAACTGTCAATTTAAGATATAAAGGCCACAAATTGAACCTCAAACAACGCGCTGTGTGAAACTCGCCCCGTCGGCGTCCGTCCCCTCCGATATCAATTATTTTCACACTTTCACCCAAAAATTACCAAACGCCGAGCCTGCGACCGGCTCCCGACCAGTCATTAACGTGTGTCATTTTACCTTTCAATATTATTTCTTCGTTTTTAATATCAAACATTAATAAACCATTTATTTTAATCAATAAAGAATAATAATTATTACAATTTCATAGTTTTTTCTCTCTCTTGTGTTAGGTACGTGTACCGTAACCTGTAGTATTTAACTAGTCAGTGTGTGTATGTTCTCAGATCACCTTGAGTGACCTGTAGTCTAGTCATAATTTCTGTCTCACTGACCACATGACGTTCGTCTCGTAATATTTGTATTATTATATAAAAATAATTAATTATTCATTGTATATGAATCGTTTGACGTTTTATTGGTCATAAAATACTTATATTTTAATTAATAATTAATATTGTATTGAGAATGATTTGGTTACTTCAAGATTATTTTTGATATCAAAAGTGTTTGTTGTTGGAACAATTCAGTTAAAAACGAATAGTTAACACGTGCTGATTGAAATATATAAACTCATCATCATCATCAGTCTATCAGAGACCACTGCTGAGCCTCTTCTCACATGGAGAAGGTTTGAGCATTAATCACCACGCTTGCTCAAGACGGGTTGGTGATTTAAAACTTATAATGTGATATAAGTCCATGTTTCCTCACGATGTTTTCCTTCATCTGTCAGTGATGTCTAAATACTCTTATAAAGTAGGTACATATGACTCGGAATAATTACGTTAGTACTTGCTAGGATCTAACCCGCGCCCTCATGCATGAGAGGCGGACCTTTAACCACTAGTACATATAAAATATAAATTATTCTAATTATATGTTTATTTTACAAGATAACCACGACTCTTATAAACATACAGAGAGCATAATATTGTTATAAAGAACAATAACTCATACTAAGATGTTGTTCGTGTGTTAACGTGACTATAATACTCGTAGTATTCGTCGCGTGTCCTCACGATCATACTAACAGTTTATCAGTGTCCACTGTGTGGTGGACGGTAAGGTTAACTTGTGAGGTAACTGTGTTAGATTATATATACTAGTTTTTGTTCTCGACTTCGTCCGCGTTAATTTCGTCATTAGTAATATATGTATAGCTGACCGGATGAACTCTATTCGGTCCTAGAGGCCGTAATTAACCAGATATTGGTGTTTATTAAGTTTTATTTCTTTTCGATGGAACTGAATTATATATCCTATGTCCGTCTCCTTGTTCTAATCTATCTCTCCACCAATATTCAACCATATCTCTACAGCCGTTCTTGGATGTAAGTATGTATCGTTTTCTATTATTCTTTCGTTCTGTTCGTCTTCTTCTCTCAGGGTACGGTCTTCTCATCAGTACGTTTGTCTTATAGTATTCCTCGTATAACCACTACGCCGGTCTCATCTCAATCATCATTTTCTTTCCGTCTTCTCTCCGGTCTACTCCTCACTCCCGTCGTTTCTTCTCGTGGGTGTGACGTCATCATCCACACCTGAGCCTCTCACTAATGGACCCCACTCCATCTATAAATCGCTCAGACATCCACTTTATAGCTTTCCGATAAAAAGTCGTTCTCACTGTTTCACCTCCACCCAACTCCCCTCAACCTTATCCCTGTGTGTTAAGGTCTAGTTTCGCTTGTCAGTATATTTCTCGTCGTCTTGTAAGTCAAACTGTTCTCATTCAAATATTATCTCAACATGGCGTCCAATGACATGTTAATACCTCCCGGGCCCGCCATGTATCATATTATAATACTATCCTCGTCCCAGGCCCGGCCCCGGCCCCGGCCCCGGCCCCGGCCCCGGGCCTGATGATCATCTTTTTATTATTCAGGTCGCGGTGCTAGTTTGGTTTCTGGTTTATTTGCGAATGAAATCTTTTCAAATACGTTTCAACTCGCGAGTATTTTTCAGAATGTAATATAGTCTTGTGAGTGTGTGTAATAGTGTCCGTGTGTCCATCTGTCGTTTTAATATCCTATGAACATAATAGAGAAGTATTCCCGACATCAATAATAAAATAATAAAGCGACTCGCGTCCGACGAAAATGTTAAGAAAAAGACATATTAATTCCCGGTTCATGTTCCGTCCCTCTCTGTCCTGTGCGGGCGTGTATATGTCCGTCCCTGTCGCTCCCCTCGCCTAAGTGTCCCGCCAGATGTCGCCAGTTTATTGAAAAACTCGCGCGCCATGTTGACTCAGTGAATTAAGACGTGAGCGGGGCGATTATAACACTTAGCGTGCCTTTATATTAATATTACAGATATATATATATATATATATAATATATAGTAAATACATTATATATTATGTTATATATATGACACAGTGTGAGGTCGTGTAGAGTGTTGTATAGTAAGTGTCACCTCTATGCTTGTAAGTCAATACAACATTATTTTGTTTCAGTATCATTAACTATTGTTTTTTCTACCTTTACTTCCTTCATATTATACTTAGTTTTCATTTAACAACATATTTAAAGATTCTATTAACTTTAACCCTGACGTTTTCGTATTATTTCGGTTTGAGTACCGCGGTAAACTTTACAAAGTTTATTTGTTATTTCTATATTTCTTATTAACAGCTTTATCTCGTGTCCAGGTATTCGTCAATCCTTTCATTATATTATTATAAATGTAATTTTGTTATTCATTGAACCTATCACCTAACACTAGTACTGCCCCGCGACTACACTCGCTGTTTGTTTTAATAATATGTACATTATATGAAGTCGCCGCAGTAATATTATCTTTTTTTCATGTTCCGAATCTGTGATGATTATAATATACAAAGTCTATCATAATTAGTACAGTATAAGTACCATATAGTTTTATTTTTATAATATTACTAGCTGATCCGGCGAACTTCGTACATCCCCATAATCAAGAAATATCTGTTACACTACAAATTATCCTGTAGAAACCAATGTGAAAAGTAAACTAAGAAATGATAAATGTATTATGTTGGTATTTTATTATTATAACTCCGGCATCAGACCAACTCTGACCGAAATATTTTTAAAGAGAATGTAAATTTGTTTTAATTTTTTTCTTTGTTTTAATGTACGTGAATATTACTGTCAGTAACACATTATTTTATTAAATAAATACTTTTCTAGTTAATTTTGTATTTTTTCTTACATAAGAACCTTCTACTAATAATAACAAATACAATAAGAAAAGAATTAGTGAGATCGGTTCAGTGTGATGATATGACCAAGGGAAAAAGGGATTCATTTTTATATTTATATAGATTATGTTTTTTCTAAAATAATTAATTTTTTAAACGTGTGTTATTAACGTTTAATATTACGAGATTTTGATATATAAAATGTATCTTTTAATACTTCTTTATAAAGAAATAAAATAGATTTGAATGGATGACCAATCCTTATCAGTTAGAGATATGTAAAATAGATAGTAGCTGTTTCTAGACCCACTGAATACACATTACATAACAATCGGTCAAATTAGTACGAAAACTAACTTTAAATTAAATTGATATTTTCATTATTAATAGTATTTTATTATTATAAACTACATACTTTACAAGTTTCGGTTACTTTACACCAACCGTGATCTTTAAGACGAGATGTGAGTGTCACGTAAAAATGACTTGTACCTATGTGTTATAAAATATGTTTTATTAAGTCGTATTGATTTTTTGATCTAAGATGATCGATAGCATTTATTAAAATGAAACTAATATTCTTCGGATTATATTACGCGATTTTTTTAATCAAAAACTTGTTATTTCCGACGTTTCGGCTACTTTAGTTATATCTTTTAATTTATGTGTATGTATGTATGTGATGACGAAGTTTAACTTCATATCTAAAGTGTATGACAGATCATCTTATACTGGTTATTGTATGTGCTAACTGATTTAATTAAACTTAAACTATGTATCCAATGTATGTGACAGATCATGTTATACTGGTCACCTCCAGTCTGTACTCACCGCCCGGCCCGCCGTGGTCCACGTCCTCCCCCAGTATGGCGCTCACACTGAACTTGAGCAGCGGCTTGTTCTGCTGCAGCTGTGCGGCCGTGTGCTGCTCCTCGTCCTCGCTGTCCGAGGCGGCCGTCCGTCCGTGCAGCAGGCGGTCCACCGTGAACCCTCCTCCGTGGCAGCACAGCTCCTGGATGGTCTTCATCAGGTCGTTGTTGAGGTTCAGCTCCAGCGCTCCGTGTCTGTCCGTGGGGTGCATGTCTGTGTGTGTGTGTGTGGTCACATCCCCGTGCTCGGCGAGGGTCTGTCCCGGGTGCCGGTCGCCGCCACACTGCCGGTCTGCTGGGAGTGGCTCCGGTGTAGGGGCGGCGTGTGTCGGGGTCGACCAGTCCCCGCTGACCTCTCCTTCCCCCTCGCCCGGCTCGCTAGTACCGAGCTCGTGGAGGGGTGAGCCCGCGCGCGGCTCATCATACACTGGTCGCTCCCCTGTCATTCAACCCTCGCCTCTCCGTCCTTGTACGTAAGGTCTGTTCTCGCGTGTATCTCCTCCTCGCTGCCCCGCGACTGTACTAAGTGTTGGAGACGTCTTCTCTGTTACTATATATCATGTAGAGACGTCACCACACACACACAAACACACACACACACACACATCGTCTTTTTATTGTTTGTTCAAATTTAATTACATTAAATATATTTTATTTTTTGTAGAAAAAAAAAATCTATTCTTACTAGACATGTATTTTTTGATACAAAACTTTTATAATCATATGTTTGTAGCACGTAGCGCGCTCGTAGCCGCCTGCTACGTGTCGTAGCTAAATGCTACGATAATAATTTCAATATAATGTATGGGACTGACAGAAAGTTTCTAGTGATAAGAACTCAGTTTGGAGTTAGTTTGGCTGGAACTGTCAGAGAGTTATCAGTAAGAGATAACAGGAAAGGGGAGGATGGTCCATCATACGGGCATACATTCGTTGTCGTCATAGTGGTGACGTCATCGGAGCGTCCGCTCGTCCGACGTCTCCGACGTTCGATCGGAGACTGAACGGAAAATTAAAAGAAAAACTCCGAGAAGAAAAAGCGTTCCAATTTTGAAATTAGCCCCGCCCCCGATTGTTATTGGTCGTTTTATTCAGCCTTTAGAACACGACCGCGGCCGCGCGGAGGAATGTGGACCTTGAGGAGCGGCCCGAGGGTCGACATCGGCTCGGAGGGGCTCGAAGGAGGTTAAATAAAAAAAGGTTCTATAGGTTGAATATGAATAATTGTAGTGTATTTGAGGCGGGCCGGGCCGCGCGCCGCCGGGGAGCTCTGTTATGAATTTCAGCGGGAATTTTATTGAACATATTTTTTAGATGAACTTAATGGAAAGACGTCTGACTGACCACTGAGAGGATACAGATGATAAGAATCGTTAGTTTGACTTGTTACTGTGTATGTGTTCAGGAGATGTCTCCTCACACACACACACACACGCTACTCTATTAATAAGTACATATATTAATTTCCTTATCTTCAAGGCATCAATATTGTTCAGTATCGACTGTTAAAAAACAATAGGTACATCTCGTATGTGTTAAAGACATCTTGACCCCCCCCCGGCCCCTCTCTCCGTGTCTCGTAGCGCCATCTATCGTCCGTGTGACGATAACAATATTTATTTCATTTTAAACACTCATTTCCCGCTGCACCGCGTCTTCCTCCTCGTAACGAGCCCTTTAATCCGGTCTCGGTTTAATTTGTGTTTTATTGACGAGAACACGACGGAACGGATTATAATAATAAAATATTATTAATTTAAAACTCGTTCCAGTTCATTTAACTAATATATTTATATCATTTGTAATGTTTCTGTACAACCGTCCGTTCGTTTCTTAAATATTTATTGTTGTACATTCACTCGACCTTTGAACTTGTTTTAAGAAACTTCAACTTTAATTATCCTCATCAGTATTAGTTATAGTATATGTGTTGATCTTATATTAGTTTCTCTTCTAATATTTTCTTCATGTTTTGTTCATGGACTCTATTCTTCTAATTTTTAATCTTCTTTTTTTTCATAACGTTTCATTTTTAATCATTTTTTTAATATAACTTTCTGCTGATATTAACTATAAAGTGTTATGTCAGAATTTCCTTCCTCCGACATCATAACGATACTCACTATTAACACGAATATTATAATGAAAATTACATAAACGAACCTACTCCTACTCCTGGTGTGCTTATATCAATGAGATCACATCTCCATGTATCATCAGGAACCTTCAGCTCCCCACGACCAGGAGTTGGTCATCAGGAGTCAGCTATATATATTATGATATATTATTATTCATACAACGATGTTGGTCCAATGACTACTTCATTTTTGGTTTTATGATTGCTACTACCGCCATCTGTTGTAGAAAAGATTGAAACTTGTTGAGTCGACATCTATGAACGAGTAGCGGCATTAAATACTCAACCACCTGATAAGTTTACGTCTAACAAAATCAAAAACGATCTTAATTTTATTTGATGTATTATTATTAAATCGCTTATATTTTTCATACTACGACAACTTTAAAAAAAATAATTTATTAATCTTGTTTCTTAGTTCAAACTTAGTTTCCCATATTTTTTTTTGTTCCTTTAGAATATCAACTAAACTTTGTCCAGTCCAAAAAAATCTTCTAAACCTGTACTATGAAACTTTAAATATATTTAATGAAAGTAACGAGATATATTATAATGTTATGTTTTATAAATTCTTCCCTTTCCTTGTCTCAGGACGAGTTGGGTCGTGAACTCCAAGTAAAGTATGGATTGGTTGCTTCACAATTAATTTTATTTAATAAATAATGAATAGAATATTAACAATTGAACATTAAATTCCATCTAACAATCGCCAACGTCCATACCACGCTGAATACACCGGTTCTCGTCCGATCACCGAAGTTAAGCAACGTCGGGCGCGGTCAGTACTTGGATGGGTGACCGCCTGGGAACACCGCGTGATGTTGGCTTTTTGCTAATTTAATTTTTATTGGCACTCAATATTTAACTTCATGAGTGAGTCACCTCATAAGATATCTTAATACATATTTATTTAATATTTTTATGAATTAATCTAAAAGCAACAATATCAAAGTAGTATTGTAATATAGTATTAAGTAGTAGTATTCTATTGTAGTATTGTATTGTATTGGCGCGTGTTGGGAGAGGCCTATGTCCAGCAGTGGACTGCTATAGGCTGAGTGATGATGATGATGATGATGATTGTAATATATAGTCATATGTTATTAAATCTCAGTCTACAACTGTATGAAGCCCACCAGCACGGTGGTCAGTGTAGAGTTTTCTTGATTTCAATCAGTTGGATGAACTGTTTATGAGATATCGTGGTAAGCAAATAATACGATTGTAGTTTTGAACTTACTGCTAAAGCAATGAGTTCAGAGAAAACAAGAACTTTAGGTGCAAAGACAGGAGAGGGAAGGCTTCTCTTGATAGTTGGAGAGAAATTCCGTAAACAGTGTCGAATGAAATGAATGTGTTGATTCTGATAAAAGACTAAAAGCGCCTGCCGATAATACGCAAGCAATATAGCAAGGACTCGGGACGCGGTCAATGAAGAACCGGGCCGTAAGGAAGCACTGGACGTGATACATTTAAACTAAACTTTAAGAGGTTAGTTTAAAAAAATAACTGCCAAGTGTTATAATGTGTTTAATACAACAGTCTGTCAACTCTTATGGTTGTAAAGTGTGCACTAACTTGTGTATATGTATTGTGTTTCAACAAGGACATACTTTATCATATATCACTTCTTGAGAAGCGCCCCACGCTTTTTTTCAATAATACCATTTATTGTTTATTTTAAACAATTTAAATTAAATTGATTTCCAAGGTTGTAAAGGTTAAATTAGTTTCCACGCGGTTTCTTTCATCATTGGAGCGTGTTTTTTAGTTTTTTTTTAAACTATATTTATTTTTTATTTTTTAGTTTCATTTATCACCGATTGATAGATGTACTCATATTATTAATTATTAATATTTCATTATTATGTATTTTATTGTGCTGAGCTGAGCGCCTATATAAAGGTTTTGATTACCTGTCAGTGAGTCAGTGCCAAAATTAGCTATTTTCACAGGGTCATATTTCAGGATCTACTGAAGCTTTATCTATGAAATTTGGCATACTGCTTTAGTACTAGTATATGATTACGTAGGTAAAATTTTATCTCTGTACTTACAATATAATTGTTTTGTTAAAATACCTGAAAGCTACTAATATTAAAGCTAGTGACTAAACGTTAATCAATTATCACAGAAAGATTGCGACATAAGTATCATATTATTAAAATAAAAGTAGGAGCGAATAAAACTTAAATACTAACAATATTTAAACCAATACTTTACATTTATGTCAAGAAATTATTCCCAAACTCGATTCGGGGAAGCGTTCTATAAACCTTAAAGACTTCACAAGACTGATCAGACACAAGACATCAACAGGTGAGTAGCATACATTGTAATTTGTATATCAATTAAAGGTATTAACGATTTGTATAGAAACAACGTACTTAAGTAATTATAAGTTTGAAATCGCTAACCCGTCTTGAGCGAGCGTGGTGTTCAATGCTCTAATCTTCTCCATGTGAGAAGAGGCAGCTCAGCAGTGGGCTCTGATAGGATGATGATGAACTATGAACGGTAAATTCTGATAAAAAAAATGGTACATATTTGTAGAACTAACCATTTGGAACAATAGTTAATATGGCGCAAAAAATTTGTTGTAGGATCCAAGATATAGAAGTTATTCAAGTTTCAAGATTCATCATTTTTTATAGGTACTTTATTTTTTTTGTTACTGAAAGTGCCAGGAAACATAAAATAATGATTGATATGGCTAGAGTTAAGCTTCTCAAGCAAATCATTATAGCCATAATCTGTTAGAAACCTGTCGTTTTTATGTAATACTAGCGAACACGACAGACGTTGTTCCGCCAAGTATCTGAACGCATGCAACACATTTCTTGATGATTTTATTGTTTAAACTATCATGTATATCGGGGTGCCATTTTTATATATTAAAAAAATGGGCCTAGAAGCACTTTTAACTGATTTTGTACCATTTCGGGTCGGATTTGATCATATGACGCGAGAGCAAGTGGCGCAGAGGAACCTCCTAGTGCCAGAGCGATTATTTGGTAATCCTGATAGTCCGATTGAAGAAAGAAAGGCCATCTCTATACTTGATGGCACTTACATATATTTACGGAAGAGCACTAATTTCTTTTTTCAAAGAAAATCTTATAGCAACCATAACTTTCGAAATCTTTTAAAGCCTTTTTTAAATATTTGTTGCAATGTGCTTATCTCTAGCAATATCAATCATTATTTTATGTTTCCTGGCACTTTCAGAAAAAAAGAAAGTACCAAAATGATGAATCTTGAAACTTGTATAACTTCTATATCTTGGATCCTACAACTTTTGCGCCATATTAACTATTGTTCCAAATGGTTAGTTCTAAGAATATGTACCATTTTTTTTTGTTGGCCGGCACTTTTAAAAAAGGCCCAAAAAGAATGATCTCCTTTATTCGTAACCTAAATTCAGTTCATTTTTATAAGAAACTCGGAACTGAAATTACTTTTAGACGATATATTTTACAAAGATTCACTTTAATTACTTTAACCGATACTATTAAAATTATAGACCAGTGCCGATAGCTTTTAAAACATGATTAAATTATAGTAGAATTAAACTCATTAGAAAAGGAGGGGAATATTATAAAAATTAAAGGAAAAATAATTTACGGGCGATCTGAGGTCGGGAAGGGTATTTAAGGGTAAAAATGGGTTTTCTCGATTTCCGGCAAAACTAAAAGTCCTATGGAAAAATATTGTATCGCAAAGTTGTAGGTAATAAAAAGATCTAAAACTTTTGTGCTAACATTTTTTTTCACATAACCTGAAATTTTATGTGAAAATTCTAAAAACCAATTTTTTGGTTTTACATTTGTATCTAAAAAAAGAAAAAACAATATTTTGTCACGAAATTTGGTGAAAACTTTCCTTTCAATGTTACAAATGCACTGTAATTTATTTGATTAGAAATATTTATTTTTTTAGCTTATTTTGAATAAATACCGAAAAATCAGTCTCATTTTCAATCGAAAAATCACCCGTCAATTAATTATCAGCTATTTTCAAAAATTTGGAATGTTTTCAATTTATTGAAATCTCGATTTTACGATGGTGAAAAGAAAATTTATAAGTTTCCCACTTACAGTACCATTTTTGGATGAAATAATCATGTCTCTTTTAATGAAATGACACTCGACATCGTTTTTAAAATGCTCTTTCTAATATATTTTAATAGTTGTGCACTCTGGAAGTTCTTCATATAGCCCCTCTTTTTAAGTACTTTACACAAAATTGACATTAATCTGCTAAAATTTCCTTTATTTTTTTTTCTGTCAATAGTTATTTCTATGTCCCTGAATATGAAAAAAATACTAAAAAAATACTAACAGTTTTACTTTTTAAATATATATATATATATATTATTTTGAACAAAAATACAGAAAATTAATATACAATATAAAATGTTTTATAAAATACAATGAAATGATCTTTTATAGGAATTTCTTGACTGAACGACTTCAGATAGATTTCTTTGCAAACTCCAGCAGTAGTTTGCCATCATACGAGTATGTGAGTCCCACCGCCCCTGATAACGCTCTTCCAATGTCCTGGACCCTGGAGGAATCTTTCACCCTGCTCTTTACTGTAATCATCCAGATTTATTGGAAATCGGTCTAAATGCGAGCGCAGGAAGTGGATTTTTATGCTAATGTTGCATAGTATCATTTTTATTGGTTTGATGGTGACCAATTACCAGGACTCGTTAGCGAATCACTTCAAGAATCTGGTACCGTACTTTGATTTCTAGTTTACAATTTATTATATTTGTCGTTCTATGTTTTTTTTGTCTTTTTGTTTTTACAGAAGATGCTACCAGCAAAAACAATAGAACTAGCGATGTTGAGGATGATGACTTGAGTGGACAGTATCGTGATGTACTTAATGATGATTGATGATGAAGTCGATTAAGGGACAATCAAAGTATTTCATTAATTCATCATAATTAATTATTTTTTATACTAAAATTATAACAATTGATATCATTTTTAAAATAAAAATCATTCTTTTTGAAAGACAATTGCTCCGAAAAAATTCATTTTTCCCTATATATCTGTAATGATTATTATTTTAATTAAAAATTTTATCTTATTTAAATAGATATGCAAAAATATGAAATTGAAAGCAGTAAGTATTTTTCAAATATGTATTAAGGTATTTTACTCTGAGGCGCATGCGCATAGTGCTCTCGCGCTCATACTCATAGTTGAGTCATTTTTGTGTTTAGGGGATGTTTGGTCATTACCATTTGTCTGACTGATTAAATATAACTTTGTAATATTTATTTGAATAACATATATAAAAATCAGACATTTAAAAATAAATTAAGTTCATTTATTTTTTGTAGAGCTTTAAAGCGTCTGACAAAAGTTCTGGCCCATGGAAAGCATCAGATTTTTTTGATATTACTTCAGAGTATTATTCTACAAAATATATATAAAAATCAGTAATTTAAATTTAACTTAAGTAATTCTGATTTTTAGTTACCTTTCTCACCTGGTACCTGCGCAGGTGTCACCGAGCCAACTCCACAAGCGTACAGGTATTAAAAAGTTCACGAGAGACTACTTAGAACCGAAAGTTCTATGCTTTAGAAAATAAGTTGTGTCTTATCGCTCTGGGATGTTGGACTATTGTAAGGGTAATTAAAACTCATGTACAGTGATACCATTTATTTGTGTAATGGATAGCGACAGTTGAAGGCGGGTCGTTATATAGTCACAGGAGTCACCAGGCCGGGGCGGAGTTAACATTATATTAATACAAGAATATTCCATTATTTATTGTCTCGTGTTTATTAACATATTCTGAAGGTCACCTCTCTCTCTCTCTCTCTCTCCGACCCGCAAGCTTACATTAAATGCAACTCAAATAACGTTTTATGGCAACATATTTTTTGGATTTTCTCTTTTTTAGTTTAATATAAAAACAAATAAAAATAAAAACGATAAGACTTAATAATTATTAATGTTTAAATAAACGTACAACCATACATTAATACTTCCTTCTTGTGATGTCTCGGGCGCGACGCTCGTATATATGACGCTAAGAGGTTTTTTTTCGCAAAATAAATAATAACAAAGATTAACGTTCAACAATCATTAGAGCAGTAAAGCGTCGTCATGTTAATATGATCACGTGTGACGTCATAGTGCCGTGTGACGTCATAGTGTCGCGTGACGTCATCAGCCAGTGGGTTGAGACTTCTGCTCGAAGATGGCCGCCATGTCCCTGATGTTGTACGAGGGGGACGTCTTCTCTGACCTGGAACCATCATCACATATATATATACACGTGTACCAGTCCGTCGGTCCGTGGGTCTGTCTACATCTACGTCATGCGTGTGACGTCATCATTCTCCTACATGTCTCTCACCTGTCTCCTCCCTGCTCCAGGTCCGTGTTGCTCCTGGCCAGCGTGAGTCTCCTCCCCTCCCCCCCGCGCGTCTCCTCCGTCCTCCCCTCCTCGCTCCTCCTCCCCCTGCTCCTCGTGATCGTCTCCGGGCTGCTCCTGAAGGACTGCGAGCTGTACTTCTCCCTTAAGAAGTTCCTCCTCTCCTCCTTGTACTTGTCTATCCTCTGCCTGCTGAGCGTGTTCTCGGCGTGTGTCCTCGCGTCTCTCTGTACCAGCGCCACCCTGTCCTCCGCGCCACGTGTCCTCGTGTCCGTGTTCAGGTTCATGTCCGGTACTCCCCCCCGGCCGTCCTTCCCCTCCAGACTCCTCCTCCTGTCTCCGTCCGTCCCGAACTCCTTACTGAACGCGTTCTCGTCCAGTGAGCGCGCGGCCTCCCCCCTGTCCGTCTTGTCGTAGCTGAAGGCCCCCTTCTGCTCCGTGGGGCTCTCGAACCTGTTGGCCAGCTGCCTCACGTTCATGTTGTTGCTGGTGGTGATCACGTTCCCGTTCTCCCCCCCTCCCCCCTCCCGTATCCTGTACGTGTTCGTGTACTCCACGGGCTCGTAGTGCGGCTCCTTGTCGCTCGTCTCCAGTATCAGGGCGTTGACCTCCTCGATGCTCTTCTTGAAGAACTTCACCTGGCTGTACAGGTCCGTGTGGTCGGTGGGCGTGTCCAGTATGATGAGGTCGCAGCTGGCAGGCTGGCAGGCCTCCTGGTCGGGCAGGCAGGCGTCCGTCTGCGGCACGCTGGCCTCCTCCACGATGGCCAGACTCTTCTCCAGGTCCACGTCCTCGTACAGCGAGTCCCTCTCGTTGGTGGGCGTGTGTTCGTCTCCTACGGGCTCGTAGTCGGGCGCGTCGTCAGGTCGCGGCGAGCGGAACGTGATGCTGATGGTGGACCTGAGCGGGCTCCTGACGGGGCTGGGCGGGGAGCTCCTGGAGGTGCTGGAGGACAGGTTGACGTAGCGCGGGTAGGGCTCGTCCTGCTTGTAGCTCACGTTGGAGTAGCCGGAGGAGCTCTCGTGTGATGACGTCATCACCCTCATGAGGTGCGGCGTGTGGTCGGAGGCGGAGGAGCTGGACCGCGCGGACAGCCGGTGCAGCTCGTGGTTCTCGTGGTCCGCGGCCTTCAGCTCGCACTTGAGGCACGTCTCGCGGTCGCAGGTCCGGCAGCTGCTCCTGATGGTGAGCGTGTGCTTGTCGCTGGGCTCCGAGTCGCTCTCCAGCGGGTCGTAGAGGGGCGTGGCCGGTGTGGGCGGGGTGGTGGGCGTGTCCGGCCAGTCGATCCGTATGAGCGTGGAGTGCTCCTTGCCGTGCCAGGTGAGTCGCTCGCCCTCCACGGTCCCACTCAAGGGCTGCTGCAGCCCGCTGTACCGAGCTGAAGGTTTCTGTTTCCTCGGGGAGGTTCTCTCTCTGTCAGATGTGAGGTTATAACATTACATGACAACTAATTACATTACTTCTGAAGTTATTATGATAATAACATACATGGAGGAGGTCAAGCTACAAGGGGTAGAGTTGCTGTACTCAGGAAAACATTCACAGAACAAAAAGAATGTTTAATTAATATTTACAATATGAATTAATATATTAGAAAACACTAACCTATTATTAGAAGATGATAAACAGCAGAATATATTTACAGTTCGCTACTTTTATATACTATAAATTATAAATATATCGAGCTGTTGTATATATTATATGACTGATGTTTAAGTCATGCGGAGTGGGGGTCTACACTAGTATTATTATATATATAAGGTACCAACCGTTTACATATATATCCTATATTATATATAACATATTGTGTGAATTACCTTAACTTCACATTAGTCAGTGCCGGCAGCTCCAGGCCTGATGACTGGGGACTGTCTCTGTCCTTGCACAGTCTGTGAATGTTAAAAACAATTATATATTATTTGTATCTGTTTGTTTCACAGAAATTATACAACTGATGAAGATGAAATTATACATATAAACATATACATATACAGGGTGACTGGTGAATTACTATCGATATTTGAGGACGTGATATTTGACGATCATATATGACAAAATAAAAATTAATATAACGTAAATATTAATAAACTTCTAAGTAAAGTTAACCAAAGGTTATGTAATTAATTACGCATCGTGTGAACACCCTACAGATTAGGTATACACACACACTCACACATACGCGCGCGGCGGCGTGGTGTTGTATCAGCACGCCGCCGCACGCGTCCACACTTGGAACACTTGGAACGTGTACACACTTTATTTATTTATACGGAAATTTGGTAAAAAATTAAGTGCCTATTTTTTTTTTACATAATTCGAATGAGAATCATGTACCGAGTATGCTCCTTAAATATTGATAGTAATTCACCAGTCACCCTGTATATACATATTTATTGGAATCTCGGAATCGGCTCTAACGCTTTTCATGAAATTTAGTATGTAGGGGATTTCGGGGGTGATAAATCGATCTAGCTAGGAATCATTTTTAGAAAATATTATTTTATGTATTTTGAAAAAATGCAAAAAGGAGTCGTTTTAAAATATGACTCTTCCTGACATCTATTGGCGAATAGTAATACTACTTTTTACTAATTGCTTTAACTACACAACAGCAGATGGCGTTGTTAAGTAACAGGAAGTCAATATGTGTTTGTTTTGTGGTTAGACTAAGGAATTAATTGTTTTTGAAGTGAGTCAGGACATCTGACAGCCATTGCGTTGCGGTGCGCTATAGCGAACCCGTGACGCCTCAGTGGAAAGGAGTGGAACACCCCGGTTTAGGTTTAGTGGGTCGGGGCGTCCCCTTCAGGGGCGTCTGTCCCCCCCCTTCAGGGTTGGACTACCATCCCCACATAACCCGACCCAGTCCCCGCTAGGTCGGGTATGTGTAGAGCACATTCCCCCGGGTAAAAAAAAAAAAAAAAAAAAAAAAAAAAAAAAAAAAAAAAAAGGAATTAATTGTCGATTTATGGGTGAATATACGCTATTTGAATTCCATTGGTCTATAGACAAATTTTGTGTAGAACTTATTATATCATTGTCTCTTTATGCTTAAACAATATAGAATATGGCATTTCATCTGACCTACAAAGACTATTCACGATAATTATATAATTTAAAATAGTTAATAATGTATAATCATCTGGCCCTCCCATTTATGACTTAAAATTAACTTTTGGCTGAATACTTTCAAAAAGCACACAATTATTTTTTTAATTTAATGTGGTCATACTCTTTAATAAACATCGAAACATATTTTAACAAAATTAAGAGTAAAAATATTTATTAATATAAAATAATATAACGTATTTTCGAATCATGTTACAATTCTGTCACTTCATCTGGCGGAATTCAAAGACTTAAAAATTTATTAACAATCACAACTTTATGCTTTTGATGTTAAAAACGGGCGAAAAACAGTTAAAAGTTAGAGGCAAGCTAAATAATTTAAGCAAAATTCAAAAAAAAATTGCATCAGTTTTCGATAAACTTTCGGAAAGTAATTTTGTGCCAGTCCTTGGAGTATTTAGTTTGGTAAGCATATATATGTGTATTTTATCGTAACGAAATTGTTAATTTCTATAATCAATGTTTATTGTCTGTAGATGTCATATATCAACTTAAACTGATGTAAGAGGAGTGAGTGATGTTAATTTTAATACATTATGTTTGATGTTGTCACTACTCTAGCGTCAATCCTCTGGCAAATTACATACATGATAGCCAGACAAGTGACAATTTTTTTTGTTAAATAGACGTAAATAGACGTTTTATTTAATATTAGTCAACTTTCTTAGCTAATAATAATAATCATTGGTATGACAATACCCTGCTTTGATTTGTTTCTATTCTGGCAACAGTGTCACTTTTCTCTTCAATACTAATAATTTCTAAATACCGAGCAGAGCTCGGTAACCAGATATTGGTTTATTAAACTAGCAATCCTCAAGCCACCTATATAAGGAGCGTCGTTACTGACAATCTGATACTTTATGTTCTCAACTTGAGCGGAGAACGTTTTTTTTAAAGTAAAGTGTATTCTTTTCTAACAACATATATATGTCCTCATCACCTCTTAGCGCGCGTGTTGTCCCCGGGCTCGTCACTGTCTATGTACCCGAGCCGCGCCACTCGTCGCTCCAGCTGCTCCAGGGACACTCTTTTCCTGTAACACACACGTACATAGATATAAGACCTGCACACAGTTGAGTAGTAGTAGTAGTTTCGTTATAAGTTCTCTTAATTTCATTATTTTCATAGTTCTATATATTCTCTATCGCCCCCCTCCCCCCTCAACTGACCGCTCCGTGTTCTCGTCCCCCCTCGTTCGTCGCGGCGTGTCCGCGGCGCTCCCTATCGCGCTGTTCCCCGGCGTCGTGTTCAGTGACTCGTCCTGTACAAAACACACACACGTCACTCATTCACCGTCTGTATCTCTGTATCTCTGTGTGTGTGTGTGCGTGTCTCACCGGGGCGGCGTGTTGCGCATGCGCGTCGTCCTCTTCACTAAACATGTGCCGGTCCCTCTCCTGCGGCGACAGTCTCAGCCTCATGGTGGCGAGCTCCGCCTGCCACGGCTCGAAGTACGAGTCACACGACGAGGACCTGCGACAGACCTGGAGCTGCATGATACTGAGCAGACCGGGGAGGCGGAGGCTAGCTGGTGGAGTACCTGGTGTGGTGCGGGGGTCGCGGGGGAGGGGCCGCCTCGCCCTCACTCAGAGACTCGCACGACACGGCCGGCCGCAGGGCTGACGCTGACGGCTCCTGCAACATGAGGCTCAGTGTACCAGCTGCTACAAATGACAGTCAGTGAGTGACACCGTGGTGTGTACCAGCGCGCGCGGTGTGAGTGTCGGCCGCGGGCTCCTCTTCCTCGTGAACAGCCCGCGCCAGCCGCTCGGTGATCGCTTCAGTCTCTTGTTGGGTCCGGGCAGCTCCAGCACCGTGTGGTACTGAGGCAGGTTGTTGGGACCGGAGCCGACCTGCACACACATACACGTGTTACTAATGTCTTATTTATTTATTATTAGGGAAACATACAGCATATCGTATATTACAACTTAATGATAATCATATTTTGACACTTATGCCAGTTAAGTTTCCACTACTGTTTTTAGGGGGAAGTGGACTAATTTTGATGAAACCTAAAATACAACTATTAATTAATTACTAATGAGTATTTTTTACAAGATAATAAAATTACTTAAACTATTTTTAAACAGATCAATGTGGTTATATTTTCTATTATGACTATTACAAGATCTTAGAATAAAAGAATTTTTGAAATAATAATTAGTCTTACAAATAGGTATTGAAAAAGTATCCTGAGAGCGAGCGTTAAAACGAGGACATTTATATAAAATATTACTGAGCAGATATGGAGAATCAATTAAATTATTTAATATTTTGTAAAGAAATATTTGGTCTCTTTGTTCTCTACTTTCTTCAAGTGGCAAAAAGACTGAATCAGGAAAAGTAAATTTGTATCACAACCTCCTGATAAATTTGTTTTGTATATTTTCAATTAAGTTGACATAGTTTGCATGTTGTGGATTCCAAACAGTTGACGCATACTCTTCCCTCTCTTTCTCTCTGTCCTTCTCTCTCTCTCCGTACCTCTATATACTTGGGTGTGAGGTGTGAGGCGGGCCGGAGCGCCATGGTGTCGGGTGTGAGGTGCGCCTGGTCCGCGGGGGGCGGAGTCCGAGCGGGCCGGCCGCGGCGCCGGGCCTCCTCCAGGCTGGTGTAGAGCAACATGTATCAGTATGATGAACAAATAAACACTACCCTACTGTCAGTGTGTGTGTGTATGTTTGTGTGTGTGTTGTCAGTATACCTCAGTAACTTGGTGGGTGGGTTCAGAGGTAAACTCTTGGGTCGTCTGCCGGCCTCCAGGCCTCGCAGTTCTATCTGAGATTCTTGACTCTCCTTAAACACATCGTTATATTAATATCATTATCATATGTTAACTCTATGTAGTGTATGCATGTATGTTCGCTCGTCGTACCTGACTGATGGAGGGCGGCCCCGAGTCAGCTCCCTGCTCCTTACAGAACAGCTCCTCGGCGTAACAGATCAGGAACTCCGTCACCACCGCCTGGAGACATTAATATGGTCAGAATATGTTCTTATCGTATGAGACATGTACAAAAATTATTAACCAAAGACTTTCCTTGCATGTGTATAACACAATTCAAATTATGTTTTCTTTGATTACCCGCTCCTGTTAAAGTTATTACATACAGTCCATTGCTTTTGTTTAATTATGTTTTTTTTAATTTAGTTACAATTAAAGAGTCATAGTGAATACACGTTGTTTTAGTTTAAAAAATCGCGATTAAATAAAATCAAGCTAAGTCTAAGCAGTATGTATGTCTGCTTGTGTGTGTCTGTGTGTGTGTGTGTGTGTGTGTGTGTGTGTGTGTGTGTGTGTACCTGCACGGCGACCCCCTGCAGCGCGTGTTGCGGCGCGGGCGACCTCAGCAGGTTGGGCGCCCACACGATGGCCATGTTCCGTGCAGTCATGCCCGTCGACTCGCTCAGTAGAGACACGCGCCGCAGGTGACGCATTAGGTACGACAGGGTCCTGGACAACAGTGTAGGATAAATATAGTGTGTATGCTATAATAATATTATAGAATTAAGTATAGTGTAAAGTCACCTTTATAAAACATCTCATGTATACATCCAAATATGGCGGACCACCCATAGGTCCAAGCTTTCATTATGCTATGTTAAAATCTTCTATTATTATTAAATACGACTTAAAGCTACATAGACGTTTCTTTTCAAAGCCAGTAATTAACCACATTAGAACATACATACACGCTCAGCATCATTTACTACTGAGGGATCATGATATACTGGTCGTACCTGTAGTGTGGCGGAGGGAGTTTGACCACCGTATCCCGGACTGCCTTAAGCCGCTGCTGCTCGGGCGCGGTGACGGCCGACACGAAGCTGTCGTACAACTGGTACGTGCACAGAGGATTGGGCAGCTCTCTGAAAACATATATTGGACGAGTTATACTATAACTAATACTATACTCCAGCCAAATTCGATGTGGAATGTTTAATAACAAAGCTTAGCAACCAACGTCAGGCAGGTGCTCAAAACATTTTTAGAAATATATACCAACAATTATTTTTGATGTTAATGAAAATTAAAATTGATGATTAATAATAAAATATTTAAGACATAGGACATAGGACATTCTTGGTTATAATTATAATACTTATGATCATCTCACATCTGGAATAATGTAGATCTCTAAAAATAATACCTCCAATTTTAAAATAATGTCAGAAATTACCTCGTTGTTATATAATTCGCTTTATTAACTTTATCCATCGCTTCCCAAACGACAGGACTCATTTAAATTAAATTTTGTGTATATTTAAATTTCGCTACAGACACAATGCCACTCAGACCAGGTTATTCAGTATTACTCATCGTAATCTAATATAAACAATATTTGATAACAACAAACTTATAACAATAACGAATTAAAACAAAATAACGATAACAAAATCTAACAATTAATAACAGAACGGAAGAACACCAGAATCAAAGACTCGCGAATTGTAAGCAGAGCTAACAACAAAACAAAACAAACATTATGGCGGGCGAATAATGCAACAAAATTACGTAGTTACGTTGCGTTTAACTTTATTTGCGGTAAAAAAATGTTTTTTTTAATTAATTAAAATGTAACCGCAATAGAATTTATTAAATTTGGAAAAAATTGTAAATATATGTGGTTGAAACGGTGATATTTATGCTAGCCAAAACAAGATGTCTTTTTTTTAATCTGTGTGTAATGAAACGTTGTGTGTATGTTAACATTCTTAACCTGTTGTGGTTATACCACCATTATAATACGACTAAAAATATACACCACCACTTACAATGAGCCTGTATCGATATTATATACCTTCCTTAATCTGCCAATTGCTTAAAAAACACTCCAAATGTTACGAACCTGCGATTTCTTTACGTCAGCATTAAAATATAGGGTTGTTAGTCTTGTAGTAATATTATAGTGGTAATTAAATATTTTTAAACTATTATTTTAAGTTTAATTTCATATAAATTATATATTGACCAGCTAAATAGATTTTTTGGATTCTATATAAATTAAAATTTTTGTGTTCAAACAGGAATTGATGTTATAACTAGCTTTTGCCGCGACTACGTCCGCGTGGAATAGTGACTTCCGGCAGATTTTTGGTTCTTCCCACATAGTTCCCGTTCTTGCGGGGTTTTCGGAATGGTCGAGTTCCCGTAGAGTTTTCAGGATAAAATCTGTTTTTTTTTTTATTCACAATGAAGTACTCTTAACCAACAACATATTTATTTGTTTATTTGAATAAAGATTAATAATATTATGTTGATACAACTTAAACAAATTATTTCGACCAAATTAGGTACCATAAAAACGGTTTTTGTGAGTTAATCTTAAAAGATAGACATATACTGTCGCGGATTGTTTTTTAGATCATTAAAAGAGCTATTTTTCTTTAATACATATTTTTTGTGTATCTTGAACCGTTTTCACGGCGCACGCAACGGAAGACTTCAAAGATGAAATAATTTCTCCCGTTTTTTACACATTTACCACTATATCTTTGCTCCTATTCGGTCGTAGCGTGATGTTATATAGCCTACAGCCTTCCTCGATAACTGGACTATCCAACAAAAAAAGAATTATTCAATTCGAACCAGTAGTTTCGGAGATTAGCGCTTTCAAACAAACAAACTCTTCAGCTTTATAATATTAGTATAGATGAATATAGTTGTAATTATAATAATTAATATCAATCCTAATTACGATGACTCATGGTTTGTTTACCAAAATTCCAGATCGAATGTGTCTGGAGTATAGACTAGAAGTGTTCTATTATACCTGAAGTACATCTTGAGGAGGCTGGCCAGCGCGTGCGGGTCCCTCTGCAGCGGCGCGCGCAGGTCCGCGGCCAGGCCCGCGTCGAAGGCGGCCCGCAGCCTCTGGGTCAGCGCCGCGCCGCCCGACAGCCGGTAGATGCCGTCCACCGCGCCGCGCTGCTCGATGGCGCGCGAGCACTCCACCAGCACCTGCGGGACTGCACCAGGGAAGGGACCTTAGACATCATAGAGGTCAACATATAATGGTTACTGTAGTATTCAATAAAACGATATTAACATTGTCATGTATGTATTGTGCTAAGGAGCAAACTGAATGACAGCAACTAATGTTATAATCTACCTACATTACACTTGACATCATATTATTATTTAACAATATCAAGCAAACATAACTAATACTTAACAGTTACTCACACAGCCGCTGATACAATCATGTTCACTATATACATATATCTTTATATATAATTCTTCTGTGAGTGTGTATGTCACTGAATTTCTCTCAAACGACTGGACCGATTTTGATGACATTTTTTGTGTGTGTTCAAGGGGATCTTGGAATGGTTTAGATTCACAATTTTGTCTGCTGGACAATGTTTTTTAATTAATTTTTAATTTATTAGTAGTTGTTGATGCAAACGTTTTTTTTTTCATTAGATTTGACAACTAACTAATATGTCAATCATTCTGTCGCACTTGAAAACACGGAGATTTATGGCATTAATAGATAAACTTCAAAAATAAAAATAAATAACAGATATTTCTTGATTATAGGACGATACAAAGTTCGCCAGGTCTTCTAGTATATATGTATATCTCACCGTCGTGTCCACAGTTAGTGAGGTGCTCCCCTAAATCACATCCGAACACTCTCTCCCTCAGGATCCCCTGCTGCTTGAGACTCCTCCGCGAGGGTCGGGACAGGATGAAGCTGCGGAACAGGGAGATCAGCTTGCCGTGCTTACGGAGCACCGGCTTGATGGGAGCCACGGCCACCGACCTGGAAGAGAGTTATAGTATTATAATAATAATAATATACTTTATTGTACACCACAAAAGAATAGAAATTTAACAATAAAAATAAAAGTAGATGCACAATAAGGCGGTCTTTTAGCGTAGCGATTTGTACCAGACAACCTTATGGGCTTTTTTTTTGTGCGCACTGGGAAAAATGCTTTACGCATCCCCTCTCCGTCGGGAGACGGGGAGGGGTATGTGGGACTCCCCGGGAAAAGGATTCCCGGTATACCCACTAAAACAACCCAGTGGCGCTCCGACCTCGCCTGACTGACAGGGGGCTGCGAATCCGGTTGCATCCAGCCGCGACCTTATGGGCTTAGGAACACGGTCGTGATTATGTTAAGAGAACGTTGAGTTTTGGAGATCATTGTAGCTCTTTTACGTAAAATATACTGAATAGAATTTCCATAAAATAATAAGATCTAATACTTTCGCTAGTATTCATTTAAATGATACTAATATTTTCGGATTACTATTTAATTATTTAAAAACTACTCACTGACGACGTCTCGGTTACTTCTAAATAACAATGGTCTCGGTTACTCAATAAAATATGCGTAATCCGAAAAATATTAGTTTTATTTGAATTTTGATAAAACTTTCCACTCATAAAATTTGTAGGTATATCAATCAGAACAACAGCGTATAGTCCATACATCATAACAACTGCACAGTACTGTAATACGGACAATAGATGGCGCTGATGACAGATTGACATTTGTTATATATTAAAGACACATTAATTCTCTGGACACTACTGAAGACAACACATGACGAAAACGAAAACTAGTCTAATATAAAAGAACATTGTATTTTTAGTTTATTAAAATATGACTCCATATTAAATCCAAAGACAAAAAATATCAAGATTTAAGTAATATTGTTTGACTCCTTTACAATGATTTTTTATCAAAAATTTTATAAATTGCTGAAAATTTAAATATTTATCATGATCTCTTAATTTTATCCATGAATGTTATATCATATATGTATTCACTGGTTAATGACAACTGGTGATGTAGCAACAAAATATTCATATAAATATTAGAATACTTAGTAAAAGCCAGACGGGAAAACTAAATATGGTGAACAATCGAGTTAAATGTAATATGGATGCTACTTGTGGTAAAGGACTGTTACTGGAGTAATGAGGAGTGATATGTGATGAGTGACAATGAGTAATGAGTGATGGTGAGTGATGACTTTTAATTTAATAGTTTATTTAATTTATTATACATTTAATATGTTCATTTGAACATAAATCAATTGATATTGTCATAAAACTGTTAAATAATTTAAATTCTTTTTAATTATATAATTGATCCAAAGAAAACAATCTTGTGATAATTACTAATTTTTAATATATTTAGTGCATGCTGTGATTACCTATAAAAAGAAATACAATTATCAAGTGTGTTCAATTGTTAAGTATATAATATTTTTGTCATTTCTGTTGGTGATCCTATAAAATAAATAAAATGATGTACGGACCCCACGATGGGCGGAGGCTGCGTCATGTGTCGCGGGACCTTGTCCCCGATGACTGCCACGCAGTGGTGCGGGAAGAAACCCACGCGGAAACCACGCTTGCCGCGCCACCACAGGGACTCTTGAGGACCTGGAAACATTGACAACAATATTAACACCTTATATAACTAACTTGTTATTATTATTATTATGTGAAATGTAGCAAACGAGCAGATCGTCTACTTGATGGGCAGTAGTCACCGTCGTACATAGACATCCACAACATCTATGTTACGGATGCGTTGCCAAGCTTCGTTGTGCGAGAGAGAAAGGAATGGTTTGGAACAGGGAAAGGGCAACCGTCTCTCTCACTTATCGGACGAAACGCATCCATTAAAGACTACTTCACACCGATCTTCTGTGAGAGGGTGGTACTTCCACGAGACAGACCATGTTCGAGCTGTAGTATGACCACAGCTAGGCTCTACCACCTTAAATCTTATTCTTATTACTCACCAGGCATATCGATGATAGATATCATGTCCCCCACGTCGAAACTGATCTCGTCCCGCGCCTGGAAACATAAGATTAATGAAGTTCCTATCACACAGAAACAATTACAATGACAATGAGATTTAAGATTTTTGCGAGTTTTATTTCATTTAAATGAAACTAATATTATATGGATGCTACGCGTATTATATTCTGCCAGAATCCAGAGCGGTAAGACAGAATATTAAGAAATCGATGGCGGTAGGTAAATAACAAGACCGACTGAAAGGCATTCACATCTCGTCTTAATGATCACGGTAAATGTAAAGTAACCGAAATGTAGGGAGTATGTAGTTTATTAATAATAAAGTCACGTAGTAATCCGAATAATATTTGTTTCATTTAAATGACAATGTTATCTTCTATAGACCTGGGACACATATTTCCTGACGGAGTACGCGGCCGCTACTGCTGGAGTGTTAATAGAACTGGAATCCTCATTGGCTACCAGCAGTTTATGACCTGGAAAATGTATTACAAGTGTTAGTATACAGGTAATATGTAATACGGTATTTTTTTCACAATTAGTAATTATTTAATGTTTAATTTATTACTGATTGTGAAAAAATTACCTTAAAAGTTGTTAATATAGAAAATATTTCAGCTTAAACATTCTTCTGATAATAATCTGCTTCCAATGTAGATATGTGGTTTTACACTATTCCCGACCACATATTATGTTTGAGTTTAGTATGTTCCTACACAAGTTATATTTTCAAGTAAAATCATATATATCACATGATAGATATTAGGTAGCTCAGACAGTATACCTCAGTTAGAGAAGCAACTGGAATGAATTATATTATGGGTTACAGGTTTAATTCCTGCTTAGATAAATATATTTTTATATAATACAGCTTACAGTTCCTTGGAAGACCAACATCCCCAAAGACCATGCCATCAAGATCAATACGAACTAACTCGAAATAGGTTCATCGTTGATTTGTACGTGGTAGAGGTGGGAGCGAGAGGTATAACAGATAAATCTCTCTACAACCTACTAAAAGACTTGGGCTTGTCCAGAACTAACATTAATACATACATAGAAGTTAGAACGTACTTCGAATGCAGCCCTAGTAGGTTCTTTTCAAATTTGGTAGAGAGAGAAGCTTGGACAGTGGAGGTGAGCGTTTAACGAGCATTAACAAGGGTTCTTAAACCTACACTTGGGTCACAAGTCCAAGTCACTGTTGAAGCTACTCTTTACAACGATGGACCCGACACATGCACCGTGAATACATGGAATGATGATAGTTTTCATATCTATGTAAAGTACTATCAATTGTAACTCCTCACATTAATTACGCGGTATCTGTTTGGTGTGTGGCTATCTTTTTAATGTTTAATTTTGAAATATGTTGTTAATTTAGACATAATTACTAGACTAACATAGTTTTATATTAAAAAAAATACTAACAAGTGGGCCTATTGTTGCACAAATAAAGAAATTATTATTATAGACCTTTATTGTCCATCTGCAGCCAGTTGAGCGCGGGTCCACAGTTGATGGAGTCGTCCGCTATGATGGACAGGTGGTGCACGTAGTCCGCCACCAGCTGCAGGTACTCCGCCTCCTCCAGGGAGCAGCTCAGCGAGGAGGGCAGGTGAGGCAGACCTGACACCTTACGGTCGTATATACACCTGGAATATGTTGGGTTACATATTGTACAGTGTGTATGAAATATTGTGTCAACCCCCTTAACAGCGTTATCGCTTTATCAGTATTAACTATTTACAGCAATATTGAAAATATCGATAGAATATTTATCGATATACCTATTCGAAAAACTAACAATGGACGAGTCGCGTCACGCCGGCGCCCCAGCACCTGCGCCGTCGCGACTATACGGCGCCTTAATCGGTTATGGGTTAGATGTTTGAAACATTTTTTCAAATAATGTCGATTTAAAATTTATTTAGCCTATGCACTGTAACTGACCTCTGCTTGATATTTGTAAGTTATACTATTTTTAATAATAAGCTTATACTTATTTGTATACATGCCTTTAAGGGAGGACACAGTTTTTAGAACACGCTGTATAGTATGTAACAAATAGTTTATATTCTGGAGTAGTGATTCGTGTTCAACACATATGCAGCAGGCTGTAGTAGCATGTATCTTTACTTCTATTGTACACGGTCACTGTGTGTGTGTGTGTGTACCTGTGCAGCATGTCGTCCAGCTGCAGGAAGTGCTCCCTGTTCCTGGTGAGTGTCCACGAGTGCTCGCCGCCGGCCGCGTCCTCCTCGCAAGAATTCACGTGGCTGCTCACCTTTAGACACACCCAACCTGCAACAAGGTAACAACAAACTCAGTATTCTCACTCAAACCTTTAGTTATATGTATATGTGTGTCTGTGTGTGTGTGTCGCCAACCTTCCCCGGGCGAGTCCCCGCTGACGTCACACGGCACCAGCTCCACCCTGATCCCGCCCAGACTCACTCGCTCGTAGTGGAAGTGAGCGCACTCCTCTAGTTTGGGGAAACGACACGTGGCTGGCTGTAAAGAAGGAGGATTAACATGATTAGTATACACAAACAGACTTATGAAGCTTTCACACTATCAATGGCTATGAACGAGAATCTCCTGTGAGTCTACATCTTTCTTCAAGTTATGGATCATTATCACTAAAAACTGATGCTATATCATGAATACATTGGTGTTAGTGATAAGTTATTCCTTCATCATCCTACCTACCTAGTACTAATATGATGATGTTTGTTAGTCTTTAACATGAAAACTACTGAACTGATTTGTATGAAACTTTACTGGCAAATAGTTTAGACGTTAGAATGAGACATAGAGTACAATCCCTACTAATATTATGAATGCGAAAGTAACTCTGTCTGTTTGTTACGCTTTCACGCCTAAACCACTGAACTGATTTTAATGAAATTTGGTACAGAGATAGAGTTGACCTTGAGAAAGAACATAGGATAGTTTTTATCCCAGACTTCTGAAAGGTTCTCTTGGAAACGAGATATAACCGAACTCCACGCGGGCGAAGCTGCGGGCGGAAAGCTAGTGTATCCTATAAGTCCGTGTATCTGACCTGGTCGTCCATGTTGAAGGCGGCCGCGGCGCTCGGCGCTGACTGGCTCATGGCTGGAGACATGGACAGCGTGCTCAGCGACATGGAACCTGCGACACACACACACACACACATATATATATTGTATAGACATCATTACTAACACCCCCCACCACATACCCGATGTATGACGTTACAGACTTTAAAATAAACAGTTATTTTTCTTAACTATAATTCAGTGGTGTCCTAGTGATTAAAATGCCCGCCTCTCATGCACGAGGGCGCGGGTTCGATCCTGGCAAGTACCAATGTGATTTTTCCTAGTCATATGTACTTTCTAAGAGTATTTAGACATCACTGATTAATGCATTCCCAAAAAGAGTGTTGATGTCAGGCAGGCGGCCGGTCGTAAAAACAATTTGCCAAAACTATTTATAACATGTAAGGCAGACCCTGACTAAAGCTGGGAAATTGCTAGGTAGAAGAAGTTATTTTTCTCAAGTATATAATGTACAAATAATATATATATTACCGGGTGTTTCTCTCTTGCATTCTGTCTCGCTCGTGGTCCTGTTCTGGCTGCGAGGGTCCGAGCTGAAGCGTACGGTTCTGGAAAACGGACAGACATCATATTATATACGTGTACACCTCTCGTGTGTGTATGTGATCAAAGTAGGGATATACTATCAATTTTGTTATTTCCTTCTAATGTTGATGGAACATTTGTTTCAAAGTACTTTTAGTCCAGTGCCATACACTTTTATCATGTATTTCTTAGTCTAACAACAACAGACAGATCTGTACATCTCAATGGTGTGTAGTATAGTGTGAGGTGGTGGGGGTAGGTACCTGTGTGTGGCGGCGCGTGCGCAGTGCGACTCCTTGTCGGGCTCGGCGAACGCGCGCGCCGCCAGCGACTGGCACGACATCACCGAGCCGTGGGGGGAGCCCTGGGACAGACAGACATACATACATACACACTGGTGTAATATTAATAACTACCCAAGAATAATAAACTCCCAGATGTAAAAAGAAATATAATAGAACTTGTTCATTTGGTGAATTAACAATGTGATAACAATTATCATCGTCTGCGCGGTCGGTAAAGGAAGGTTCTTTGAATCTATCAGTGAATGACTACATAATATATCGGAGTGTGGCGACTTGAGACGGATTATTAACTTGTATAAAGAATATTTTGTAAAATACGAAGTGCTGTACTTTTGGGTATTGTCAGTATTTCTTCAATTTCATGAGAGGATTTATTTAAATCGTTTACGACTACTTGCAATACTTCTTTCTCATAAGTCAAGCGTGGTGTACCTATAGTCCGTATTTCATTTGGGAAGTAGCCGTGTCCTCACTGTCTATCTCGCTCACTCATTCCAAATATGACCACTATCTATCTCTCTCACCATTTTGCTGCAAAATTAAGTAGGTACCTGCCAAAAGCGTGTGCGAATAAAAAGCACTTGAACCGAGTAAAACGATTACTTGACGTTTTTATTTTTTTCTGAAACTAACAAGTATTATACCATATTACAATCCTGATTCAATGCACGAACTTTTAATGGCACTTGCCTGGGTACTTTAGCAAATATTTTTAAAGGAGAGCGTATCAAAGTTGAAATTCGTAGTTTAATAAGTAGTCTTAATTCTAGAAAACTCCGGGCAATTGTGTAATTATTTTTGACGGTGGTTTTAAAAATTTTGTTTAGGTTTACGATTCAAGAGTTTAAACGAACAAAAATTTATAACAATAACCGAAAAATAGTTACAGTTTGACTGAATTTCTAGGTTTTTCTTAAATGTACCTACATAATTTTTTAAAATGCGTGGAGTAGATTGTTTTTGTGATTTTTCTTATGATGGTTACAATCAATCCTGTCTCCCCGTTTCTGTTTAGTGTGGAGTTCTGGGACACCCTGTATATGTATACATAGGTGTATATACACAAATACATATATATATAATGGTCATACAGTACATTTAAATTATAGCTTCACAGTCTAGCACTTTGTTAACTCAGTGACATTTGACAAACTAATGTCAGCTGGTTAGGAAATGTCAAATTTAAATGTTAATTGAAAGGAAAATGATATAAATAACACAGCCTTAGCCTTGGAACCTGTCTCCCTGATAAAGAGTTGGAGTAATGACGGGGAAAGACGTCAAAGATTCATGAACTTTGACTCCGTCATAAAATTGGTAGAGACAATTCATAATGATATGTGAGAAATTTGCTGAACTATTTGGTAATTAATGGAAATATAAGATCTTTCTTGACCTAGTTAGACCTGGTTTTGTATACATTACATCTAGTAATTAATTATAAGTGTATGGAGTTTATTCACTACCAGAAATATGTTCAGATCCGGATGTAACTTCAAGCTACAACACTATCCTTTCCTTATATAGACTCCTAAGAATCCCTACTAATATTATAAATGCGAAAGTAACTCTATCTGTCTGTCTGTTACGCTTTCACACCTAAACCACTGAACTGATTTTAATGGAATTTGGTACAGACATAGAGTTGAACTTGAGAAAGAACATAGGATAGTTTTTATCCCAGACTTTTTAAAGGTTATCTTGGAAACACGATATAACCGAACTCCAAACAGGCAAAACTGCAGACGGAAAGCTAGTATGAAATAAATCACTTGAAGTAGACCATCATCTACTTCACCAACGTTCAATAAAATAAACCATGATCAAGCCGGTTGGGGTACAATTTAAGCAAAAACACATATATTAAAACATTAATGATATCTGTTCATAAATATTTTTCACTTACCTCTTCATTCCCATCATTACATAGAAATATATACAAGCAATAACACAGTATTGTTATGTGAATTATATAGTTAAACATCAATAAATATACACACAACATATTAAAATGGTGAGTACAAAAAATACTATTAAATTACATAAAATAGTATGGAAGTAACAAATTTTATGTTTTAATATATGTACACTACAGAACTATACACATAGAGAGATGAGACAGAAGAAATATATTACATGCAGATGAGATATGATGAGAACATGAGATTAATTGATGTTGTCTACTTGATGATGAGTTGTGATGAGTTGCTCATCACCGGGAGTAAGTTACATCACTAGATACTTCATCATCACCATCACTCAGAACAACCATTCAGATCATGCTAACTACAGATTGTAATGTGTATTTTGCTACCAGCATAATTAAAACAAGAAGCTAACATATTAATTCTATAATAAATACAATTTTAAACATTTAAGTATTATAAGAGTTTAATATACTTAATTTATTTACTAAAAAATATAAATATATGATTATTGATTTGTTCTATCAAGGATATTGTCATAATAATATGAGCAATGCAGTATTCTTAAATAGAATATGACCTATATAGGAAATGTATGACCCACATTTACAATAAGTGTGTCATACATTAGACTGGTAGCTAAACACATTTTATATATAGGAGAGGTTAACTAAGAAAACAAGACATACAGACAACAAAGATGGGCCAGGCACTAGCTGCTCACATTGTGACCACAGAGGATCCAGCCGTCGGAGCAGACTCCAAACACACGCCTCATCTTAACACACACATTTATATACTTCTACACTACACTATTACACTATTACACTACACTGAGCCGTCTCGTACACTACGGAACTTTCACTGGTGTTGAGTTACTCTAGAGCACAAAGAAAGGTCACTTGGATAGTGGACTTCACTACACAGCTGGTCTGAATTACTGACTGGTAAACTAAGATTTCATAAGCTAACTATAACGATATAATGTTACATATATCTATTTATATACGACGACTGTGTTTTAAGTTATAAACCACTAATAATTCACTGTTGTTAGTACCACATAGTTTTTTATTCGGATGTATTATTCATCGTAGTAGCAGTTTCATTATGACATAGTTTTTAAAGCGACCGTCCGTTCAACGGAAATGTTTTTCGCAACTCCACGCACCGCTGACGAGGGAATGAAAAAAAACGCCGCACATATTTCGACACCAAAACAATATTAAAACCAACTGGGTTGAACCAAAATAGATGCCTTCCGACGCTTCATTTTAAAATGGCAGATGTAATTTATTTGAATTGCTGAGCGTCGCGCGGTGCTAATAGGAATGGCTGTGTAATTAATTTAGGAAAAAGCCTTTTTTTCAATTTAAATTAACGCGAATCGTAGCTGCTAGACATAATTCGATTTGACATTCCCCGCGCTCCGCGCCCCGAGCCGCTTCCCCTCCCCAACGGCGGTCGATCTCAGTGTTGTCAGTACAAAAAAAAATTACCAACGAATGGTTAAGGCCAAAAAAAATTTTCCATACATATAAATTTACTTTCCTATTAATTATAATGTAATAAAATATTAAATATACAATAAGATATTTTGCATTTCCGATCACAAAGTTAATTTGCAAGAGAGGATATCGCGAATGTTTTTATACGGGAAGTGGGAGTCATTAAAAAAACTAGTTTCATATCCGCGGCTCGGCTGTAATGTGTTTGTTATTCATCATTGAACATGACTCGCTGTTATAATACTGTACTCATACTAATAACAATGATTTAATGAATCGAGACGTAGATTGTTAGAACATTAAATTACCATATCATCATAATAAAACATTTCTATTAACAGTGAATGGATGTAATCAATGTTGCCAGTGTGTTAAATGTTTTGTTTGAATTATAATTGTTTAATATGATTCCCGCGTATATTGTAGGAGACGATTCCATGTGCTGTGACGTCACCAACTAATTGTATTCTGGAATGTTCCAGATGTTTGTAGATCATGTTTAAGGAGGAACCTTTTTAAACTATAATATACTAGTTACATCATCACACTTATTATATTTATTGTCCGCCGTTTTACATGTGGGTGTGTGTGTGTGTTTTCATTGCAATAAAACTGCTAAGTTAAGGCGTTCACGGTCACACGTACAGTTTCGTCTTGGAATAGAAGAATTTATAATATTTTATGAAACTTTTGAAGTATGAGAACAATGAGTGAAGGTGTCTTGACTGTGTATGTGTGTGTGTGTGTGTGTGTGAGTGTGTGCGCTCGTTAATACAGTGACAGATAGTGTAAGCCCAAACTCAAAGAACTAATCGTTGAAGAAAAATACTTGTACGTCTATAATCACACCGTTTCTCTATCTCCTAAACTATCCATAATTCATATTAAACAAACATCGCCGAGTGTGAGAGCTAGTATATGATAATGGTACATTGAATATAGTCTCGTTAACTGAGACAATTGATTTGAATGACGCTATTAGTGCTCGCCACAAGCCACACGCCACACGCCATAGCCATACTTACTGACGACAAATAAATTATGTGTGTGTACATTGTATTCTAACCACGATAACAATCACCACACTACACACTCAGAGTTAACAGTATTTCACTCCTTAATCTATCATTATAGTATTATTATAGTTTATTGAATGAGTAACGGAAAACGGATCGTATGTAGTGAGACAGAACTTGTGGTATGGAGTGGTCTAAAGAATAAGATTGACGAGACAATATCTAACATACACGAAACCTCTCATCATTCAATGTATTCACGGTGCGTGTGTCGGGTCCATCGTTGTAGTGAGAGGAGCTTCAACAGTGACTGGGACACGCGACCCAGGTGTAGGTTTAATATATATAGAGAGACGAAACCTCTCATCATTCAATGTATTCCCGGTGCGTGTGTCGGGTCCATCGTTGTAGTGAGAGGAGCTTCAACAGTGACTGGGACTTGTGACCCAGGTGTAGGTTTAATATATATAGAGAGACGAAACCTCTCATCATTCAATGTATTCGCGGTGCGTGTGTCGGGTCCATCGTTGTAGTGAGAGGAGCTTCAACAGTGACTGGGACTTGTGACCCAGGTGTAGGTTTAATATATATAGAGAGACGAAACCTCTCATCATTCAATGTATTCCCGGTGCGTGTGTCGGGTCCATCGTTGTAGTGAGAGGAGCTTCAACAGTGACTGGTACTTGTGACCCAGGTGTAGGTTTAATATATATAGAGAGACGAAACCTCTCATCATTCAATGTATTCGCGGTGCGTGTGTCGGGTCCATCGTTGTAGTGAGAGGAGCTTCAACAGTGACTGGGACTTGTGACCCAGGTGTAGGTTTAATATATATAGAGAGACGAAACCTCTCATCATTCAATGTATTCCCGGTGCGTGTGTCGGGTCCATCGTTGTAGTGAGAGGAGCTTCAACAGTGACTGGTACTTGTGACCCAGGTGTAGGTTTAATATATATAGAGAGACGAAACCTCTCATCATTCAATGTATTCCCGGTGCGTGTGTCGGGTCCATCGTTGTAGTGAGAGGAGCTTCAACAGTGACTGGTACTTGTGACCCAGGTGTAGGTTTAATATATATAGAGAGACGAAACCTCTCATCATTCAATGTATTCGCGGTGCGTGTGTCGGGTCCATCGTTGTAGTGAGAGGAGCTTCAACAGTGACTGGGACTTGTGACCCAGGTGTAGGTTTAATATATATAGAGAGACGAAACCTCTCATCATTCAATGTATTCCCGGTGCGTGTGTCGGGTCCATCGTTGTAGTGAGAGGAGCTTCAACAGTGACTGGTACTTGTGACCCAGGTGTAGGTTTAATATATATAGAGAGACGAAACCTCTCATCATTCAATGTATTCCCGGTGCGTGTGTCGGGTCCATCGTTGTAGTGAGAGGAGCTTCAACAGTGACTGGTACTTGTGACCCAGGTGTAGGTTTAATATATATAGAGAGACGAAACCTCTCATCATTCAATGTATTCACGGTGCGTGTGTCGGGTCCATCGTTGTAGTGAGAGGAGCTTCAACAGTGACTGGTACTTGTGACCCAGGTGTAGGTTCAAGGGACCATATCTAACGTTAAACGATCACCTCCACCGTACAAGCTCCTTTCTCTAACAATACATCTGTACGCGTGATAAAAAAATTGAATAGTTCATTAAAATATATTGATAGGCATTTTTTCTAATAAATCATACAATGGCTATCATTAATGTATGTCCGTCTGTTTGTTACCGAAACTGCCTCGTAATGAGACGACCCAATCAGCTGATGCACCGTTAGTGTCAATGACCTCGGTCAACACGGTCAGGAGGTGTCATTATAAAATGTGAAGTACATACATACATACAATACAAACATTATTAATACTAGGCTGATAGTACTAAACGTTGGATAGACACACACACATACAACTCTATACTGAACTAATGTATATATATATGCTAGTTTTTGTACGCGGCTTCGTCTGCATTAATTTCTGAATTAGTAATATATGTATAGCTGACCGGGCGAACTGTATTTCGTTCTGGAGGCCGTAAATAAACAGACATTGGAATTTATTCAGTTTTTTTTCGAATGAATAAAATTAAATATCCTATATCCATCTCCTTGTTCTAATATATATCTCCACCAATTTTCATCCATATCCGTACAGTCGTTCTTGAGTTATAAATAGTGTAACTAACAGGACTTTCTTTTATAAATATAAAATCGAATCCTCAAAACACGTAGTAATATAAAAAATATAGTTTAATTTAAGTAGTTTAAATGTATCTTACAGTACATTTAAACTACTTAAATTAAACTATATTTAAGTACAGTTAAATCAGTGTGTCACGTACATTCATGAGACGCGAGGGAACAAACAAACAAACAAACAAACAAGACATCTGACTCACTCTGTACAACAATGATAACACAACACAGTGACATCAGTATCCTTACTACCAGTCTCCAACCGGCACACTCTGTACTATCAGTATGTAGTTTTTCGTGAGTAACTTTTGAGGTGGTAGAGCCTAGCTGTGGTCAAGTTACTACAGCTCGAACATGTTCTGTCTCGTGGAAGTACCACCCTCTCACTGAAGATCGGCGTGAAGTAGTCTTTAATGGATGAGTAAGAGAGGTTCCTTTACCCCTTTTCCCTCCCTTTCCCACCTTTACTTCCTACTTTTCCCTAAACAAGGGTTCTAATACATTCACAATCTAAGTTTTTTATGTCAATGGGTGACGGTACTACCTCCATCAGGTAGGCTGTCTGTTCGTTTGCTCCCTTTTAGCATAAAAATATAATTATATATGTATGTATGTCATGTTATGTGTTGTATATAATATACATATATTCCTTGTATATAATTAATCAGTAATATATCGGTCACAGTCTCGTATACTCGCTTTCTCCCGCGACTTCACGTCTGTTTAATATACATTACGTTGTCACTTGTCAGTGAGAGTGGAACTAGTAATGAATAATATTAACCGTCTTTCAATATTCCTCATCAATCTTCGTTTCCTCATCCCACCCTGATGCTGTACAGGCTATAACCTTCATCTATTAATGTATGTATGTAGTACACATAACACTAGAAGTATCTATGTAGTACACATAACACTAGAAGATATTTACAAATTACACGATTAGTTTCTGAGATGAGTGTATACAAACATACAGATATATACTTCAGCCTTATATGTTTCTTTATAAGTCATTAGATTCACGCTCAAACTTACAACTACACACATATTGAACACGCGT